GCGACCTAGAGAGCAAACGTTGGTTAATTCACCAAGTGTGCTGCTCATGCAGGCAGACAGACAGGAGGCCTGAGAGGTGAGAGTGATTTGAATAATGAATGAAGTTGGCCGACTTTGACTTCTGCTATAATGAGAGAGGAACTGTACGTCTCAGACAGCTGGAGAACAGCTCGAGTGTCTGAATACCAAACACGCCAAGAGGCATTATAGGGCTGTTCACACAGGACGGGCTCCTGCAGTACATATCAGCCGGCACTATTTTACTTGTAGATAAACCTGCATTATATGTGTGTCGTTGGATGTTGTGTTTGCCTTGTTCATTTCTCAGCATCAGGTGCATTTTTAAAAGACATGTCCCATTAGAAAGTCTAGCTGGTTGGCTTCTTGCTTGTTTGCTATCAAATTAGGCCGTACTCACACTAGGTACAGTTGCCTCGAACCGGGCCAAAGCACGCTTGTCCCCCCTCCCTTCTCCCCCGACGGCCCGCGCTCACACCATATCTGGCCTCGGCACGCTTACGTCATCGCTGCTGCGCTGTTCAGAAGCGCTCTCTATGGCAAGCCTTTTTAGCATATAAATCTTTGTTCTGACTCCATAAATATATTTAGAGATTTCTCTAATTATATTTTGACTAGTCATAATTATTATTCCACTACTCAGAATAACAATTAGAGATATCTGCAATTGCAATTGTACTAGTACGAAATCAGATTAGAGATATCTGCAAATATATTATGACTAGTCATATTCCTCTATTGACTTCCATTGAAAAATATTTGCAGATATCTCTAAATGAGTTTTGCCTAGTCACAATTGTAATTAGAGATATCTCTAACTGAGTTTTTTACTAGTCATAATACATTTGGAGATGTCTTTAATTCGTCATATTTAGAGATATTTACAAATATATTTGAAGATATCTCTTAATTAATTTACTAATAGTCGAATTACAGTTGTAGATATCTTGAATTGGATTTTTGACGAGTCAAAACTCAGAGATATCTGCATATATTTTTAAATGGAAGTCAATGGAGGAATATGACTAGTCATAATATATTTGCAGATATCTCCAATCTGATTTCGTACTAGTACAATTGTAATTGCAGATATCTCTAATTGTCATTCTGACTAGTCGATTTATAATAATGACTAGTCAAAATATAATTATATCTCTAAATATATTTATGGATAGTCAGAACAAGGTTTAAATGCTAAAACGGCTTGCCATACACTCTCACCCAGTAGCACAGTGGAGATTTCTCTAGTTATATCCTTTCAGTCGTTTGTCATGCATTGACATGCAGTCAAATATTTCGCCAAACAGTTCTTAGGGATGCGGTGACACGCAGTCAGATATTTCACCGGACAGATCCGCCACTTTTGGCGCTCATAAACAATCATTAAGCTCTCGTGCTGCAGGAATGAGGAGGTCTGCTGAAGGCGCGCAGCTGTCACGCTGTGAGGAGTTTGCGTCTTTAATAAACCACGGCAGTTTGCGATCACTGAACAGTAAGAATGATTAATAAATCCATATGAAACAACCCCTTAAAAGTCACGTATCGCTTTCAGTTTCGGGCTTTGGCGCGTTTTGCACTCACACACAAGCATACCGCACCAAAGCCCAAGTGTACCGCGCTCAGGCACACCTCTTACAACCGGGCCAGGGCCGGCCAAGTGAACCGTGCTTGAGCCCGATTCAGCGCACTCACACTTCTCAAACGATCCGGGAAACAGGCGTGGGCACGGTACGGATGGCATAGTGTGAGTAGGCCGTTAGTCTGTTCAAGAGCAAATAACAGATGATTCTGGCCAAATATTGCTGTTAGATGGCCAAAGCTAAACTTATTTCACATTTAAACTTTTTTATTATACTATGCGAGAGCTACACAAACCGGGATCACATACAAAATAAACAAATATATTTGAGTGTATGTGTGTATGTGTGTTTGTGTGTGTGTCGTTATCGGTAACACAAGACTCTTATCGTGTAATAAAAAAATATCTCTATTAATCTATTCTCAAAGTTAGTTTGGGAGCTGGGTCTGTTCTACGCAAGCATGGTGACTTTCACCTTGATATTTTAGTGCGGATGCATACCTGACCGGTGAGTCGTCTGACAAAAAAGTGACTTTCTGAATCAAATCAGCAAGATGCCTGACTTTAACTGCAGTTTGGCAGTTTCACTTTAACTCATTAACATTTCATTCATTATCCCGTAACAAACTGGGGTATTAGATGCAAATAAGGACTGGTGAGAGTGTTATAGAATTTATTCCAGGATAAAGTCCTACATGATGGTAATAGTCTGATTGCGGTGTTTACTTTAGTAATTCTTTAGTAAAATACTTTAGTAAAAAAGATCATGCACTTTTCGTTCTTTTCAGTCTCATATTAGAAATTGGTTATTGACAAATCAGCATTGTCAGCATTAGTACTGTATTCTTGACACATTTGTACTGTTGTCTTTGGCTTTTTGTCCTCTGCTCCCATCAGTCTGTTCTTTTTTTTTTCTTTTTTTCTTTTCTTTACTTTTTTAACTGTATTTCTTATGAAAGTGTATTTAATGTTTAATGTTGTGCTTCTATTTTAGGTGTGACTTTTTAACATTCTGTAAAGGGTCTACGGATGAAAAATAGCCATTCTTGGCTAATTCTGGCACATTTTACAGTAATGTTTATTAATGTGCATTGACCCTGTAAACAAATAAACTAAACTAAAACTAAATTCTACTAATATATGCATAATTTTCATGTCTTAATTCCATTTCTGTTTAGGTTCAGTTATGACTTTAGTCAAATTAAGGTGATCAAAAAAAAAAAAAAAAAATCACTGTTTCGAGCTTATGTAGGCCTGCAGTTCATGTTTAACTAAATAAACAGCTAGTAAACACAAGTACATCACCAATTATCAAAGTAAAACAGTTTCTCAAGCAGTTTGTGATGCATTTTGTAAAGAGGAGATGAGCCCCTGTTCTAATGCGCCACCTGGCTTGAGAAACCCGTTCTCAAAGACTTATTATTTGGGTAGCACACATATTTTTAATGCCTTCGGCAGAATTCAAATAAGCCATTTTAATCTAGATTAATCTAGATTAATTCCGAGATTAATATAGATAAAAAATAATCTATGCCCAAATATTATATATATATATATATATATATATATATATATATATATATATATATATATATATATATATATATATACACAGTTGAAGCCAGAATTATTAGCCCCCTTTGAAGTTTTTCCTTCTTTTTAAAATATTTTCCAAGTGATGTTTAACAGAGCAAAGAAATTTTCACAGCATGTCTGATAATACATACATACATACAGTTGAAGTCAAAATTATTAGCCACCCTTAATTATTAGACCCCGTTTATTTTTTCCCCAATTTCCTTTCATATGCTTTCATATGCTTTCGTATACACAGTATACACACACGCACACATGCAACACTCTTTTACACATCTTCCTTTTTGTTTAGCTTAAATGGAAACAAGGCTTATGTTAGCAATTGTGAAGTTGAACGTGCCTTCTGTTCAGCTGCTTTACACTCCAGCTGTTTAAGGCATGAGTGCGTCGTGCCTCCAATGACCAGTCCAGCGTGGCTGCACCAAATTCGTGCTATTATAATGATTTTCCTATTACAGTACACTTATTATCCTGCAAGAATTTTTCAGTAGACGTATAATAGTATGATTAGCACCAAGTCTCTCGAGCATTAGCAGCAGATTTATAGTATCATTACTTGCTTCATTACTTAGTACAACATTAAAGTCTGTAGAGGATAAAATTACTGTAACAGGAAGGAATGTGGTGAGCTTACAGAGAAGATGGAAAAATCTTCCAGGAGCCAAAAAAAGCTCATTTATTCCATTATCATCAACCATGTCTTAGTGCTGGCAATCCAAGCGTTTACATTATATGTACAGCTGAAGCTGTGATGCATTCTGCGATGATCTGGATAGCATATTGAGGTTAGTATGTATGTAAACACAACCATGTGACTCATTTATTTGCAAGCAAGTTGCATTGAAATATTACAGCACTTTTGCATAATTTAATTTACAATAAAGCAGAATTTTAACCAATGTCTTTAAGAAAACTAAATCTTCACTTGTATTGTGTTTGATCTGTACTAGTAATCTTTAAAGAAAATTATGTATTTAGTTTATCGATGCTCCAGAAGGGGTGCAAACTTTTGAACAGAATAAAAATGTGTTTTTTTTCCCACGTTTATTCTAAATATCATATTATATCTAAATATCAAGTTTCCCAGAATAAAAAATAAATAATAACCCCAATTAAATTAGTGTTTGAACCTTCTGCACTAGTTGCATACAAGTCCCTCAGTTGTCCTCAATGGAAAAAAAGTTGGATCTCAAAGTCATACAGTCATTTTTGGAAAGGGTTCAAATACACAAAAAATCCTGATAAAACAAAGAATTTGCAGGACCAGAAGATTTTTTCCAAAGAACAACATGCAGTTTAGCGGTTCAGAAGAAACAGGGATGGGGTCATTTATTATAAAATAAACTATTAGTTTTTTCTTGTGTACTCTTCATAAATGTCTGTCTTGTGAAATATCTAAAGCTGCAATGATTAGGCCAGTCATGATAGGGAATTTTTGTTGTGCGACACTGTATATTCACAGAAATTGTTGCGGTAAGCAATATTAAGTGTTGGGCAAGCTACTTGGAAAATGTAGCGAGCTAAGCTATTAGCTACTCTACTTAAAATGTAGCTTGAAAGCTACCCCCTGGGAAATGTACCAAGCTATGCTAAAAGCTATATAGCAAAAGTAGCTTAGTAACAAGCAAGCAATTTTTTTCTTCTTTTTTTATTTTAAAGCAACTTCAATCCAAGTTCAGTTATTTACTGCAATTAATATGCTGTTCCAAACTGAAACAAAGAAGAAGAACTCGCTATCATATGTATTACTTACTGTTACTTTTATCGGTTAGACACTGGCTTCACAGATCTGTGAATAGCAGTGGTGCCACCTAATGATCCACGATCGGTAATTGTAGCTTTTGTGGATGATACTTGATACTACTTGCTTAAAATAAACGCTTCACTACTGAAAAACTATTTGATTTAGAATGTAGCGACCCTAGTGCCACGCTACTGAGAAATGTAGTTGAGCTAGTAGCGTCAACTTTTGCACGATCAGTCTTCTTAGTAAGAGCCAGTCATTTATGGAACACACTTCCTATGGATTTAAGGGGTGTTACAAATTATTCAACAATTAAATACAAGTTAAAGAAATGGCTAAAAGCAAATCAAGTTTGTAATCATGTGTAATTCTTTTGTCCAACATTTTAAGAAATTCTTATTACATGTTTTATCCCTTTGTCATACGTAACTTTACTGTTTTTGTATGTGTGATGATGTGTTTTTTGATTTTAGGTTGCCTTTTAAAATCTGGCTGGGGGCAGCAGATGAAAACCTCAGGCTTATTTACAGTTCTACTGTTTATTAATGAGCAATGTCCCTGTTAAATAAAATAAATTTAAATTCAAATTACTTGTGGCTATGCTACTGCCCAACATTGGCGATATTATTGTCATTTTAAGATCATTTTATACGACAGATTATATAATGATTATATAACAGTATAATAATGCAAATAGCCATAAACATCTTAAAACACTGATCGTTCTTAAGGTTATTTAAATTCTATAATTCAATGTTAAAAAGGTAAACGTCAAATTAAATATAGTATTACTTGTCCTGTTGGGTAAACGTCCATTTATAAACGTTGACACCGTTGAGGTAGAACGTAAACGTCATTGTACGTCATCGTCATCAACGTTATTTGTGAAATTGTAAACGTATAATGCAACGGCAAAAATTATTGAGGTCATCTCCAAGTATTGAGTGATAAGTCGATATATTGATTATTGTGACTAGCCTAGCAGTTACACTTGACTTTTCATCATTGACTTTCATTCATACGCATGCAAAAGCTTTAGACTGGAAACGCAATTCCATGCTAAGGTATTTTACATTTTGCGGGGTATTTGAAGCTAAGGTAAAGTTGCGTGAACTATGACCTGCGAATCTGCATTACGTGAATGTATGAGACTAATAGAAGAACATAACATTACTTGGTACAGAAACATAAAACATTGAGAAATCGCACATTTTTGCAGTGTCGCATCCCCCCTCCCAAATTCTAAACACATTCAATTCATTTTGTGTAATCATTCTTGTTTTAGTCAAATTCTGCGAGGTAATACGTAAACATATTCACAAGTACATGTCAGTTTTAGACTTATGTAATATCACTATATTATTACTAAACTAAAATGGTACTAATATCAGCAAATGCGGCTAGACACTCACTCTTGAGCTGACTTGCGTTGTGGTTGAGACTCATGCGGGGTGGCAGAGTGCTGTGGTAGGGCAGGGCGCTGCTGAATAAGATGTCATTGGGCACGGCCTGGTCCAGCATGGAGCTACGAGAGCTAGCCAAGGACAGCGCCCTCCGGTGGCTGCTACACAAGCTCTCGTCTGACAGAGTCCGGTACAGTGAGCGGCGCGGAGACTGCACCACAAGCGGTATCTGAAATAACAAACACACACAAAAATACAGTCTTAAAGAGACGGATGTGAAAGCTGCGAATGAGAAATGCAAATTTGCAATCAACTAAAGCCGTAAATTCAAACTATAATAATAAAAAAAATATTGCAGACAACACAGACAGTATTTTAATATATGTATGCTTAATAAACAAACATTATTGGCAAGGCAAGCACCCTATACTATATTTTATTGTACACATTATTGGAAAAATATTTGGAAATATTGGTAAAATCTGACATTGGGATATTTTGTTTTTCGGAGATATATATTGCGATATGAATATAATTTCACCAGATGGCTAAAACTGCTCTATTTAGTAAGAAAATGTATTATTGGAATGATTACAAAGGGGAGTGGATCACGCATATAAAAATAATAAACAAATTACAACTGATAGATAAATACAACAGAGCATCAACAAAAATAAAACTAACAGTGCTTTATGGTTTTCATGCAGAGTCATAACAGTTTTCAGGTAACAGAAATTAAATATTGAAAAATAACACAGCATAGTCTTCATTGTATGAATAATTAGATAAAATTGATCTTTATTAAAGTTACAAATGGTGCAATTTCTTGTTCCTGAATGCTTTAGACTCTCTTGAAATGCGCACACAGCCACAGGCATTAAAACAAAGCGCTCTCCCTCGTGAAGCCAATACGTAGGAAACTGAAACCGCAATTCATCGACTCGCCTTCGGGGGCTCGTTCCAGAAAGTTTAGCTGTTCAATGACTGCAATCCAAAATTGGCCAATTTTACTGCTGAAAAAACATGTTTACAGCCTGCTACAAAAGATGGTTTTGGTGTATATACAGCAGCTAATACTACCCTTTATGACAATTGTGATGAGGGTGAGTTTTAATTACTCATCCGTTCAGTTTTTATTAAGTTATATTAAGGCTGCATATTTAAAGGTGTGGCCACTTGAGTGACAGCTAGGTCTCACTGGTCACCATGTTGTCCCCTGCGCTAATTCTGGCTGATTAGCTGCTGAACTCAGCATATACATCGTTATTTTGTTTTGTTTAATGTGGCTTTACACAGTCAGTTGTCTTCAGGGATTATTTCCTACAATTATCAGATGATATGGCATGCTGTGTGCACTTAATTGTGCTCACAAACCATTCAAGTGGCCTCCAATTCCCAGGTGAGTGAAATTATATACTTGTTTACCATCTCCATAAATGTATTTGTTTTATTTAAGATAATTTATCATTTTCTTTAGACCTGTAATGCACTCCAGAATCTGAAAGATTGATTAGCGGTAGGCTATAAAATAGTCATCTGAAATGTTGTCATACAGTGTTATGCCTGGATTTCATAAATAGCCTTGCATATACTAACAAAGACTATATTTGGTTTGAAATTAGAAAGTATTTGGAAGAAATTAGCGTTTTCCTCCAGTAGAAAAATGTTATAAGAACAATGCTTAGTGGGTCAATGTATTACAACAGTGTTTTTAAAAGTCTAAACAAGATACTGATATAGTACACAACCAAGCACATGTGGTCAAAACACAAAGGAGCTACAGGTAATGAAGTATCAAGCGTTTCTCCCAAAGAAAAGCACATATAAGCAAAATGCTAGCAGGCATCTGAGGCTATGCCTCTTTGGCTTTGTTTGGTATCCCCCAGACGATGCAATGGCGCACAAACAAAATGGCGACGGTTGGTCATGTCTACTTGTAGCTTCATTTTTGTTCTTCAAAAACCTTCTAGTGGTGACTACTACATCCATATCTTTTACAGTCTATGCCTAAAATGCATGTGATGATAATATTTTAAGCAGCATTGCATATCCGATATGACCATTTCTGATACACACATTCCGATATCAATGCTGAAATGATATATTGGGTAGCCCTGCAAAAGTTTTAACAATTCGGGATGAACAGACTTTTGTTTATTCAGGCAATGCAATAGGCACTCCTGTATCATAACAAAGGGACTCAGGTTACACCAATAAACATGTAGACAAAGCTATTTTACATTTACATATGCCATGTGACCTTTAAATGCAAAAAAAAAAGGAAAAAAAGCGGAATACTCCTTTTTATAATTGTCTGAAAAACATTATTCTAATGTTAAAAAGACTTTGCGATACACATAGATGTTTATGTGAAATGTACACTTTACTATTAACCATAATATAATTTCACATTTCAATTTGCACAATTTTAATGGTATTGGAAATATATGCCTAAAGAGAACGAGACTGGGAGGGGGAAGCAAAGATATTATTCATCAGAATATGATTATATGGAAGGCTCGGCAATATTGTTAATAAAACAGCCGTGGCAATAAAGCACATATCACTTAATTGAATTGTGGGAGAGGAGGAGGTTTGGCGAAGGGAACATGAGTCTCAGCTGGGGACCAATCAGCAGTCGGAGAGAGTGGCTGTGGGTCTGTGAGTCAGATCTATTAGAGTCATGGTGCTCTCATCAATAATGCAGGAGCGATGGACACGGGCCTCATGGGGGGGTCGACGGCGGGAGGAGGGGCGCAAACTGACAATTAGAGAGACATGAACGTGACGGAGGACCAGCAGACCGAGGAGATGGAGTGCTTATAATAGACCGGCGAAATTAGAAGAAAATAAGCACAGCAAATATGAAAAATGGCACATTAGTGTTTGTGCAGAGTGAGACTAGTTGCAACAAAGAAGTATGGATTTATTTAGTTTCAAGTGGTAATGATGATTATAATGATATTAATAAATATAATAATAGTCATATATATTATTTTACATTTTAATTATTATTATTATCACTATATATTAGTGTTTTTTAGTTGCTATATAGTAACATTTTATAGGTGTTATAACATATTTTTGCAGTAGTGGTTGTATAAATATATTCTGCTGCCCTAAATGAAATGTTATTACTATTATTTTATTAATAACAACATAATTTTTCCCAGTTAGCATAAATGATAGCAATAATGTTTATAATAATAACAATTCTAATAATAATAATACTATCGATGCGGTGGCGCAGCAGGTAGTGGTGTCGCATCACAGCAAGAAGGTTGCTGGTTCGAGCCTCGGCTGGGTCAGTTGGCGTTTCTGTGTGGAGTTTGCATGTTCTCCCTACGTTCGCGTGGGTTTCCTCCGGGTGCTCCGGTTTCCCGCACAGGCCAAAGACATGTAGTACAGCTGCAATGGTTAGGCTAAACTGTCCATTGTGAATGAGTGTGTATGGATGTTTCCCAGAGACAGGCTGCAGCTGGAAGAGCATCCGCTGCATAAAATGTGCTGGATAAACTGGCAGATTATTTCGCTGTGGCGACCCAAATTATAATAAATTATTATTATTATTATTATTATTATTATTATTGAGAAATTGTCACCTAAGTTAAATGGAAAGTTGTTGATTTTATTAGCATTAATATTATTGTTATTAATAATACTGACAATAGTATGACATCGACTAAGAATACTACTACTACTAATAATAACAATAATAAGACCCCGACAACTACTAACTACTACTAATACAACACCAACAACAACTACTACTACCACCACCACTACTACTACTACTACTACTATGACTACTACTAATAATGTCAGGGTTCTGCCACTCTGGTCATGTAAATTCTTGTTTTGGTGGCAGAGTCCGGACACTAGTCATGTCTAGTCCTGTTGTGCTCGGCTCGGGTTTTCTTGGGTCGAGCACTTGTTTCTGTCATTGTGTGTGTGCGTGCCTCCGACGCGCGCGCTCTTGTTTTGGTTGGCGCTGAGATGAAGCATGCGCGTTGCTTATGTGTGAGCGCACGGTAAGGTGTTTATCTATCGTGTGCTTGTGTCTTGCGTCTCTTGTCAAAGCATGTGGCTCGGTGTTTACATTGTGGTCACGTGCTTTGTTGTGTGCTTCATTGTTGCTTGTGTTGTCATGAACACGCAGTTAATGAGTTCTCATTGGCTGCGTGTTCTAGTCTCGTTTTATGCGAGCGCATGGCTTGTGTTGTCTCTCTGTGTCATGCGCTCTCCCGTTTATTGTCTAGTCCCACCCTCCTTGTTAACTCATTATTAGTTTGTCATGTTCAGCTGTTTGTGTCAATTTACTTTAGCTTCATAATCCCCTCATGTTTTCTGTCCTGTGCCAGTTCGTCGTCGATATTACTCTGTCTTGTTGTTTCCAGTCCTGCTTTGTCCTGCCAGCCCTGTCAAGTTTGTTTTTGCCTTTTTATTCATGTTTTCGGGGTGGTTTTGTTTTGCCTTTTATTTTTATTTGTATTTTATAATAAATCCTACATTTTCTGCAATTGGGGCCTCGCTCCTTTTTCCTCTCACCGACCGTGACAAATAATAATAATACGACTTCTACTACTGTTTATAATATTTAGACAACAAAGATGACTACTACAGCTACTACTAATAATAATATGATGACTACTACAACTAGTTATAATATTAGGAAAACGAAGATGACTATAACTACTACTACTACTACTACTAATAATAATAATAATAACAATAAGACAACGATGACTACTACTACTAATACTAATAATAAGACAACAACTATGACTACTACTACTAATAATAATAATACGACGATGGCTACTGCTGCTACTACTAATAATAATATGACGATGACAACTACTACTACTACTAATAATAATAATATTAATAACAAGATGACGACTTCGACGATGACTACTACCATTCCTACTAATATGACTACTACTACTACTAATTATTAGTGGTAGTAGTTGTTGTATTATTATTATTATTATTATTATTATTATAATACCACAATGACTACTACTACAACTAATAATAATAATAGTATTACGATGATGACTACTACTACTACTAATAAAAATAAGACGACGACATCGATGAAAACTACTACCACTACTACTACTATTACTAATAATAATAATAATAATGATAATAATAATAAGGTGACTACAACTACTAATTCTACTACTACTAATAATAACATCAATAAGACGAATACAACTACTAAAAATTATTACTACAAATACTAAAAGCTTTATTACCATGCTACTTATTATTAACTTCTTTGATAATCATAATAGTAGTAGTTACCCATTATCATTTGGTAACGCTTTACAGTACAATTACAACAGCCAGTTCCTGAATTGTTAATGAGTGGGCATGACGATTGACAATCAACAGTGCTTGTACAACATTTATTAAGCCTAGTTAAATGACAATTTATAAATCATTCAGAACAATCTATACTGTATTTTCAATGCGTTATAAATTAACAGAATACATTATGTAAGAAATGGTTACATGATATATTTACATACTAACCAATGCATTAGCATCATCATCTGTTACCCATGATTTTTATACTGTGTAGCTGAATTAGATTTAGATATAACTAGTTAAAAAATGAGTGTGTGTTAACAGTGAAATTTAATAAATTAAATATGAATGCAGGTATATATACAGTAAAAATAATTAGCCCCCCTTTGATTTTTTTTTCTTTTTTTTTAATATTTCCCAAATGATGTTTATTTAGTTATTATACAGTTTTACACTAGTAATTTGTACATTTATGAAGCTCTTTTGACACAACATGCATTGCAAATGTATAAAACGAAAGCTAACATGCACACATATGCAGTATCTTTACACCGCTGTGAGCACATCAGGTGAGGAGAATGACTGATTATTGTGACCTCATTTCCTCCAGACTCCGCCATTTGTCAAGCAAACACAGTTGTTACACAGGCTGCTGACTGGATGATTTGCTTGTCAGCGTAATCACAGTGGTGAATAATGTTAAGGGCAAAAAACACGTTTAAAACTATTTCTTTGTTTTTCGGTGTTGCTTTAACGTGTGGTAGCAACTGCGGCTCTGCATTACTCATCCTCCAGGGCTCACCTTGCCCCGGCCTGCCTGCCCCGGGGGACTGTCGGGGAGAAGCATCCTGAGGAAGGCCTCCTTAGAGAGTGTCTGGAGCTTCTCACCAGCGCTATTAACCACCTGGGACGGGTTCCTTAAATAGAGGCCCCTGAGAGAGAAAGAGACATGGAGACAAAGAGGGAGAGAAAGTGAGATATTAGCTGGAGGTTTCAAACAGAGCTCTTGTTTACTCCTGCTGATAAGGTGTGTTTTGGTGGATTGTGTTACAGGTAAGGTAAAGACACTGCTGTTGACACCTGGTGTTTAAATATGGCCAATTTTCTGATGATGCAGTGTTTTAAGGTGGTTGTCTATAAAGACTTTTTAAAAGGATTTTTCATCGTAATGCTGTGAAATAAGCATCTGTAGTTTATATACACTGAAAAAAAATATTCATTAGATTTACTTTTTTCAGGTAAGTGTTGCAATCAATTTATATGGGCTAAATTTAAACTAATTAAATACAGTAATGTTCAACTTAATTTATTTGTTTAAATTCAGCCCATATACAGTATGTATGGTTTGCAACGACTTACCTTAAAAACAACTTAGTAAATCCAATGAATTAGTCTTGTTGTGGTGTGCAGTTTTACAGTTAAAAAAAAACAAAACAAAAAAAAAATGTGTGTGCTAACACAGTGAAATGTAATCAATAAAATATGCATAATAAGCAATGCAGGTATATATACAGTAAATATTATTAGCCCCCCCCCTTTGATTTTTTTTTTAATTTTTTTTAAATATTTCCCAAATGATGTTTAACAGAGCAAGGACATTTTTACAACATGACTGATAATATTTTTTTCCTTCTGGAGAAATTCTAATTTGTTTTATTTCGGCTAGAATAAAAGCAGTTTTTATTTTTTTTAAAAAACATTTTAAGGTCAAAATTATTAGCCCTTTAAGCTAGATTTCTTTTCGATAGTCTACAGAACAAACCATCATTTTACAATAACTTGCCTAATTACCTTAACCTGCCTAGTGAACCTAATTGACCTAGTTAAGCCTTTAAATGCCTCTTTAAGCTGAATAGAAGCGTCTTGAAAAACATCTATAAAAATATTATTTACTGTCATCTTGGCAAAGGTACAATAAATTATTTATTAGAATTGAGTTATTAAAACTATTATTTGTAGAAATGTGAGGAGAAAATCTTTCCTGAGTTAAAAAGAAATTTCTAATAAACCGAATGTCTTGACTGTCTTGTTCCAAAGTGTAAGACCTCTTTACCTGTCCGCTTAAATTAGAAAGTAATATAAATGTTTTAAGTAGTGTACTTAAAAATATAGTTAAAACAAAACAGCAGTTTACACAAATAGTTTTGATCATGCTGACTTTGCTTTTGCCTTATAGCAATTTAATGTAAATAATTATAACTATTATAAACATTAAAACACATAAACATTATATGTATTTATTTAATTTAATTTTATAATTTCAGGTCAAGCCTATCGTGGACATGTGTTGAGAATTAGTCTGCTACAACACTTAAAAAATGCATTTAATTGTCCAGCGTAATTGTGATGTCCATGTCAAAAAAGATAAAAACAAGTAAATAAAAATTAATTAATTAATTAAATAATAATAATAATAATAATAATAATAATTATATATATATATATATATATATATATATATATATATATATATATATATATATATATATATATATATATATATATATATTTATATAGAGTTGAAAGCAACATTTTTATTATTAAATTAATGATTAAATTATTATTAAATAAATTATTATCCCTTCTGTGAATTTATTGACTTATTTTTTATTATTTAATGTTCACAATATTTCTTACAATATTTTTCCTTTTGGAGAAACTCGTATTTATTTTATTTTAGTCAAAATAAAAGCAGTTATTAATTTTTAAAACAATCTTTAAGTTCAATATTATTAGCACCATTATGATTTTTTTTTTTTGGCTACAGAGCAATGACTGTTGTCCAACAACTTGCGTAATTAACCTAATTAACCTAGCTAAGCCTTTAAATGTCACTAAATGTCGCTGAATAGTAGTATCTTGCAAATAAACCAGAAATAAATATTACATAGCAAATAAATATTACATACTGGCATCATGGCAACAATGAAAGAAATCAGTTCTTATAACTTTTATGTTTAAATATGTGTTAACATAAATGTCAAAGGAGGGCTAATAATTTTGATGTTAACTTCTACATTTAAATTAGTTTAAAAACATTTAGAATATCAAAAGTAATTAGATTTAGCGTCTTTATGTTTAAAATCTGTTGTTTTAAGCATGAAAAGAACATTTATGCGACACACATTTTAGTGTCTGAAATAGTGGTTTTTGCATAAAATAAAACAGAATAAAACTCACGATTATATATTAAATAAAACACTAACAAACTTATTGTTCAACAAAAAAAAAAAAATGTATCAATTGCCTATCAAGAGAAATTCGATCAAATGTGCTTCCAACTACCTCTGGAACAAGTGGTTAAAAGTGGACAAATTCAAAACTTTTAAATCAGGGGTGTCCAGGAGGGCCGATGTACTGCATAGCTTAGCTTCAACTTCCTTTAACACACGTGCCTTGGAGTTCCTAGTATACCCAAACAGCTTGGTTAGCTGATTCAGGTGTGTTTAATTCGGGTTAGAACTAAAATATTCAGGACACCAGCCCTCCAGGACCGAGTTTGGACACCCCTGGTTTAGATCCTACAGTATATACACCAGTGTTTATTTAGCATTGCGCAATGTAGATTTACAGAAAATGCATCTTAACAGCAGGCATAAACGGAGCAAAAGTAACCTTGAAGTGTCTGTGTTTTATAATACTGCAGATGTGGGTTTCTACAGACAAAACAATCCAGGGGACTACAAGGCAGTGACAAAACACAGGATTATGGGTCATTGACTAAGGAACAGCCTTCACACAGTCATGATGTGACTCACTAGGGAACAAATCAAAACAGATCATCGCCCTCCTGTGCTCTGAAAGGACCAGTTCACATGAAATAGAAAATATGTCATCGTTTACTCACACTCATGTTGTTTCAAACCTATATGATGATTTTTTTAAACAATACTCTGGCTTTTTTTAATATAACAAAAGTGAATGAAGATGAGGGCTGTGTTGCAGCTCTAAAATGTCAAGCACTATGAATCATAAAACTGGTTCACATGGACTATTTACCAAGATTTTCAAAGCCAAAAATAGCTTTGTGCGAGGAACAGACCAAAATGTAAAGGATTAGTTCACCCAGAAATGAAAGTTCTGAACCCTTGTGTCATTCCAAATCTTATAAGCCTTCGGAAAACAAATGAAGATCTTTTTTTTTTAAATCTCAAAGATTCTTGTCCCTTCATTGAAAGTCTGATGCTTCGTAATTTTCAGAAACAGATAAATGTAAATCAAGTGGTTCAGTCTAGTTATTCTGTGGAGAATGATCACTTCATGGGATTAACAGATATAATTTAGCCATTTGTTTGGATGTAGACAATGATAGTGAGAAAAAACGAACTGGCTATTGAGAAAGCTAAAATGTGCTATGTCACACAAAAATGTACTTTGTTGGTTTAAACAGACACATTAGATACACTCAAAAATTATTTTGCTGGTTGTTCAAACTACTTATTTAAAATGAGCTGAATAAACCTAATTCTTGAAGTATTTTAGGGGTCAACTTAATTGTTTTATATTAAATTCACTTAAATTTGCAAAAAAAAAAATTACACACACACACACACACACACACACACACACACACACACACACACACACACACACACACACACACACACACACACACACACACACACACACACACACACACACACACACACACACACACACACACACACACACACACACACACACACACACACACACACACACACAGTTGAAGTCAGAATTATAGAATTATTAGCCCCCCTTTTATTTTTTATTTTTTTTTATATTTCCCAAATGATGTTTAACAGAGCAACACAATTTTCACAGTATGTCTGATAATATTAAATATTAAACTTATTTGTTTTATTTTGACTAGAATAAAAGCTGTTTTTAATTTTTTAGAACATTTTTAAGGGACAAAATTCTTAGCTCCTTTAAGCTATATTTAAATATATATCATTAACCTAGTTAAGCCCTTAAAATGTCACTTTAAGCTTTATAGAAGTGTCTTGAAAAAATATTTAGTCAAATATTATTCACTGCTAACATGGAAAAGTTAAAATAAATCAGTTATTAGAAATGAGTTATTAAACTATTATGTTTAGAAATGTGTTGAAAAAATCTCTCCGGGTAACAGGGGGGCTAATAATTCAGGGGAGCTAATAGTTCTGACTTCAACTGTATAGTATGTTAACTTAATTGATTTGATGAAGGAATTGTGTGGAACCCAGCTTTTTTTTATTGTGTAGAAGGATGGAAATCTCTGTTCAAATAATAAAAGATTATTAAAAATGTCTTTATTTGTGTTCTGAAAATAGATGAAAATCTTTTGGGTTTGGAATGACATGAAGTTGAGTAAATGATGACACAAGTTTCAATTTGGAGTGAACTAACCCTAAAGTCTGAATATTCTGAATATTTTGACCATGTTGGTAGAGAGAAAGCAAGGTCTGATTCATCAATAAATCATATTGGTCTGAATAAATTTTTCTGACAAAATAATCCAGTCACAGCTCATTAAAGTGAAAGTAACTGGTGGAAAAACAACTTAAATGCTCTGTTCATCTCATAACACTTGTACAGATACATTTTTGTGCTCATATAGCATAAATAATAGCAACAGTTTATTGAATTATTTTCCAAATATTTCTCAAGTGATGTTTAACCAAGCAAGGAATTATTTTCCAAGGTATTTCCTATCATTTTTATACATTTGAAGAAAGGTATTTCCCTTTCTTCAAATGAAAGTTTTTTTTTTTTTTTTTTTTAGTTTGACTGGAATTACATAAATAATAATAAAAAACATTTCCCAATGGCTTGCCTAATTAACTGAACTTGCTTTGGTAACATAATTGCCCTAGTTAAGCCTTTAAAATGCACTTTAAACTAAACACTAGTATAACCCACTGGTCCTACTGCACCCATACCAGTCTGAGCTGGGACTGAACCAGTGATTCTTTGTATAGGAGTCAGTTGCTCTAACAAGGAGCCTAAAGACCATTGGCCTCTAGCAATTGTCACTAGAACACATTTAGAGGTCAGAGGAGTAAGATTTACCTGCATAGCCCTTTGCTAGCTGGCTTCCGTTACATTCACCCCCCTAAACTTCACTCACATCCTGGATGAACCAGCGATTCTTTGTATGGTTGCTTTAAGAAGAAGGCTAAAGACCAAGACTAGCTGGCCTCTGTTACACTAGTAACTATTAAAATAGCATATACTGTTATCATGGCTAAAGACTAAATAAATTGCTATTAGAAATTACTTATTAAAACTATTAAGTTTAAAAAAGTGTCAAATTTTTTTCCCCATTTAACAGCACTTTGGAAATATTGGAAAATAATCGTATAATAATTGTGCTATATTACAGGAAAAATGAGCTGAGAGTGAGTAAATGATGATACATTGTTATTTGTGTGTGAACTGCCTCATTAAAGGAGTCATAAAAGTGCCATTTCTACAAGACAACAGGGGAAAGGAACAAGACGGTGAATAGTTCAGGGCCAGGTAATGATCCAACTACCTCGATTTCCTCAACAGTGTCTTTAGAAGCAAAGACAACACCTCTGAGCGACTGAGGCGGAAATAAAGAGGAATAAAAGAAACAGATTAAAAACACACAGCTTTAAATCGATTCAGCGTCCTCTTTTGTTTCTGAATACCTGACAAGAGACAAATATGAATTTGCATCAAATATCGCCTGCGTCAGGAGAACGTCAGTATCTCCCCGTAAGCTTGTCAATCATATCAGGTCTCTGCTTTAATCGTCAGAGAAACATTTGCTTGGCCTTCGCTCTGATAATGCAAAGTGGCAGGTGTCAAGTAGATTCTGTCTGGATTCTGTATGACGGAGTTTATATAATACGTCTGCTGACATCGATCTTCTCCGAGCCACTGCCAGTAATTCATGTGTTACTGACCTAAAAGGTTTCCTGAATGTCACTGATATGCAGAGGTTCTGGTCAGACATTTGCTATTTTTCCATCCACCCATTTTTAGGTGCATTTTAAAACATTACAATAAAAAAAAAATGTTTCATGAAAACTAGGGTTGTTCCGATACCGATTCTAGTATCGGAAATACTAAAATGCTTAAAAACATGGTATTGAATCGGTTTATGGTTTCAAAGACTCGCCGATATCGATCCCAGAATTTTTGTAGTATTGGTGAGTCTTTGAAACCTTAAACCCATCCGATACCATATTTTTAAACAAGACATATGCCTGCCAGTTTTGTTTAACGCTGCAAACCCTACTGCTCAGTATGCAAATACAGGAAGATGTGCTTTGTTGCCAAAACAACCTTGTTAGAGGTTATTTTTCTATATTATTCATATACATTTTTTATATTTCTTTATTCTTTGCTTTGATTTATATACATACACACACATATAAACATAGCTGTATACAGTTTCTACAAATAAACACTTAGGTATCGGTTCAGTACTCTGTATCGGCCGATACCATGAGCTAAGGTATCAGAATCGGTTTCTGGAAGGAAAAAAAAGGGTATCCAGAAAATCCCTAATGGGAACACCAAAATGCACATATAATTTAAAAATTTGCATCAAAACATACCAAATTTTTACCTGATAATAAAACATGTGCATAAACTAAGATTGTAAAAACATTTATTGATGAATTCCAGCATTTGCATCAAAAAAGTCCTGTGACTGATTTAACAGATCATGTAATACCTAAAATGAGGGTGATTGGATGGCATTAATGAACAAGCTAGCAGACTGACCACACCATAGAACATCAGAAATTTAGGTTTGATCATTCTAAAATCCCTCAGTCAAAGGGGTTCGGGATTATTACTGTATTAAAATTACATATTATGACTGCACCAGCCCAAAAACAGTCTCGAACCTACAAAAGCCACCTTGTGTTCATCGTGTTTAATCCATTTACTTGTTTAAGTATTTTATTACATAAGAAAAAGGCACACAGCATTGGTCCTCAACCTTTTTATCACCGCGGACTGGCCAACACTTGACAATTTTTAGCAATCTCATCATGCCACTTACAGGCGCAAGCCACACGACTTCATTGGAAATAATGTACTCTGCGAACTCTAGAAAAGATGCGATATGTAAAGACCACCGTCATTTGCGATCTCCAGCAGTTGATCATCTTGCACAGACATGCTAGATTCACCTGATTTGTTGACAAATGGGTTGCGGATCTATTCCTGGGCAGTTTGCGGGTCCTTCACTGGGCCTTTTCCCCTTTCCAAAGACAGTCTGTTTCTTACTCGTTTTGCTGCTTAAGTGACCGAAATGAACCAAGAGAGTATGGCCATTTTTCAAAATTAAAGATTGTTCAAAGGCCAGTGAGGCCAGCAGGGGGCGCCCAACCTGCGGTCTGTGTGGGTCCTAATGCCCCAGTATAGTGAAGGGGACACTATACTGCTTAGTGAGCGCCGTCTTTCGGATGAGACGTTAAACCGAGGTCCCGACTCTCTGTGGTCGTTAAAAATCCCAGGATGTCCTTCGAAAAGAGTAGGGGTTTAACCCCAGCATCCTGGCCAAATCTGCCCACTGGCCTCTGTCCATCATGGCCTCCTAACCATCCCCATATTCAATTGGCTTCATCACTGTCTCCTCTCCACCAATCAGCTGGTGTGTGGTGTGCGGTCTGGCGCAAAATGGCTGCCATCGTGTCATCCAGGTGGATGCTACACACTGGTGGTGAATGAGGAGAGTGAGGAGATTGAGGAGAGAGTGAGGAGAATGAGGAGATCCCCCCCCCATTGTGTAAAGCACTTTGAGTGCCCAGAAAAGCGCTATATAAATGTAAGGAATTATTATTATTATTAAACTCCGATAATAAATAAAACACATATGATTAATGATTTCTTGTGCGGCCAGGTACGAATTGATCCACAGATCTACAGTACTGGTGGTTGAGGAACACTGTTCTACGGCAGTAAATTTAATTTTTATTTTTGATATTCGGCGCCAGTTTATTAGCAAGTGACTAAACGTTCTCGTTGACTCATTGGATGAAAACTGCTTTATTTGCAATTCTTTTTTCCAATATTCCAGTTTTATGCATCAAATTTGCGTCTTCGGATGGAAACACAGCTATTTACATATCACTAGGAACTTTTCTCCAGCTTCAATGTTACATAAGATGCATTAGTCATTTAGAGCTACTTACCTAAAGTCTCTAGCTTGCCCTTGATCTTCCAGCAAGTGCTCATTTTCTCCTTTCTTCCAGCCAGTTGAATACTTTTCACCTTGTGATTGGCAGCTAATAGAGAGCTTCTCTCGTCCTCCCATCGGAGTGGTGTCCGTAGGAGAGATGATGTAGATTTTCGAGGGGTCAATGGAGCTGGAGTTCTTCGAACATCGCTCAGAGGGGCTTCCAGAATGACGTGAGCCACTGGAGGATAACAATGAAAAGATGAAAATGAAACGGCTGAATGAACAGCTGATTGATTATCTAATGGCAATGCCTGTCTAAGCACGAACTATTAATTATCAGGTTTTAAAAGCATTCTTGTCAAGGCAAGAATGAGTAAAAATTACAGCGGGAACACCAATAAATGCAATGCTTTCTGCATAGTCAGAGTCATTTTAGTATTTTAATATAAAATTGTAGCAATTATTAAGATTTTTGAATTGTCTTTTTTTAAATTCCATTTTTATTAATATTTTGTCAGTGTCAATAGCATGGTGGCCAGTGTGCCACCAAGTGTAACCAAGTGTGTCACCAAGTGTGACCAAGTGTATTTGTTTTGTTATTAAATATGACAAAAACATGCTTTTATTGATATTATTTCTAAAAACTTTGTGTTGTAATTTATATTACATTACTGAAAGCCATTTCTTATGTTTTTAGTCAATAGTAACAACACAACAAGATGATACTGTCATGTTATAGATATAGTCTTGAGAAAATATGGACTGCAATGGAAAATGCTCCAGGTTTGATAAGATGGTTTTTGGCTGTATCAAATCACCTTAGCTTGGCACTCTTAAGTCACTTCGGCTTTATCAAGCTTCATCTGCATCCTACTGTATTCAGACTCACATCAAAGCAATACCTTTTCATTGTATAACTGACCTAAGCTTTTAAAGTCAACCCATCAGGATAAGGCACACTGCTCGTCTTTATAAGCAGCACAGTCCAAAGACAGAATGTCAAAAAGCTTAACTTATTACTTAGCCCTTGTGTATTGTTCAAATTTACAACTTTTTTTTTGTTGCGTTGGGGGCTGTTTTTGTCCAATTGACTTACATTATAACCACATATTTTTATTGCAAAGCCATGACAGCATATAATCATGAGTGTTTTTGGTTATCCCTGTTGGGAAGAGGTAAAATGTGTAATTAAAAAAAATCTTTTTATTGTTTTAGCATAAGAAAATAAACAATTACATAAACAGAACAAAAATGCATTTTCACAATACACAAACAGTCAGACACAACATAGTACAATATCATCCAGAAAGCAAAAGAGAAAAAAAAAATTTATTAAATATATTAAGAAAAATAATGATAATAATTTACAGAGAAACGTGTAGGCTCCACAACTTGACATATGCTAAAACCATTCCCACCTATAATGAGTTACAAGTCAGCATGACTGATATAAAACATAATTTGGGTTTCAGATTTTAAAAACTATGTTTAATTTGTTTGCCATCCCATATTGCATTTCTTCCATGGGCAAAACATAACTTAAGCTCCTAATCCAGGATTCAAAGACAGGCACGTGATCTGACTTCCAATTTTGTAAAATTATTTTCTTTGCTAATATCATACACAAAGATACTGCCCGTGATGAATATTTATCTCCTATTTCTGAGGTGCCTCCAAAAATACTCAATTTTGGCTCTGGTGCCAGATCAATCCTGTATACTTCAGATTTAAAATTAATAACGTATTGCCAAAATGAGCTATTTTTATGGCATGACCAGAATGAATGAGTCAATATACCTTCAAAATTTTACATTTATTGCACAATAAGGAAACACTTGGGAAAATCTTATTTATTTTTACTTTTGAATAATGAATTCTGTAGATAACATTAAATTGAATCAGTCTGTGTCTCGCGTTGATAGAGCAATCATGAATTTTGGAAAGATAATCTTTCCATAAAATGTGTAATTTTTATTGTTGTTTATGAGTTGGCAGCTCCAACCACTTGATAGGCTTGTGCAAAAAGTTTCTGGCTTTTACATAGAGTTCTAGGAAGTAAATCAGCAAATTATAGCGTGCATGTTTAAAGACACACTATGTTTACTATGTTCTGACAGCTGAGCTGCGTATTTTTTTTTCAAACATATCAAATAAATGAGCAAAAATCTCTTACACACTCAAACACATGCTCGCACAATGTACTCTATATAAAAGCTCCAGATTTTTTGCACTGTAACTAATAATCACCTGTAAGAATATCAAATATTACCTCATCCCAACAGGAAAAAACCACCAACAATCAAGAATCCATGATTATATGCAGTCATGGCTTTGCAATCAAAAATGTCATTATAGTGGGAGTCCATGGGGCAAAAACAGCCCCCAACATAACAAAAGGGTAATACATTTGCCCAGTGTGTATTGTTGAGTTAAAAAAAAATAAATTCCCACACATTTTCCCAAAATATGCATAAAAATTTTTTTGTCAAAGATCAAACCATTTGCTGAAACACAGAGAAAGTAGTGGCCAAATTAATCCTCAAAATCTTCTCAGTGTGGATTATACATCCCCAACAGCACACAAGGTTTAAAGCAACAAGAACAAAATAAGAAAAACAAGTAATTTTTTGTTAATATTTGGCTCCTAATTTCTGTCCCTCTACTGAAAGTCTTTTTACCAAAAAAAAAAAGCTTCAAAACCAAGCGAGATCAAACCACATAATGAACAGCTTTAATTTAGTCTATTTTTCAATAATAATCTCTCAATAGTTTTAACATTGGTTGCAAATAACTTTTAAAAAAGCCAAAATGTAAAACGTTCATCATCAAATCACCATTTCTCTTCAGAACATTAAAGTATTTATTTCTAATCTCTTAACAGATATTTTGATGTGACAATTTTAACCGACTTTAAACTGAAGACATAAAATCTCTCAGAAGAGAATTAACTAGGCAGTTGTAGTCAAGCATTCACAAAAAAAAAAAAAAAAAAAAATTCTACATGAATTTTACACTCTCTTCTTATCTCACCTGGAAAGTGATGAAATCTCGCTCAGATCTCCTGTGCTTCCATCCGTGGTGTGACCGGTGGGTGTAACGGGCGCATATCCCTGAGACAGGAACATCTTTGCCCTTCCTTCATCCGTCTCGCCATCCTCCTGGTACTCCAGAGGCCACGGGAGTCCCGTATCAACCCTCCCGTCCCGCATGGCCATCCGTGAAGGTCCAACTCCGGCCAAGGGCAGGGCAGGGGGTGGAGGGGGCATACAGGGTGCTGTATCTATGCCGCTGTCAGTTGATGCACCTTTGATATAGGTGAGTCCTAAGGACTCTGGATCCATTGGGTCTCCAGATCCAAAATGTTTCTCGTCGCTGCCGCTGGAAGCATTGCTGGAGAGGGTGTTGTTACTGGAGTGGCTGGAGCAATGGCTGTGGCAGCTCTTCTCACGGCTCTGGAAGATTATTGAAGTGTTAGTGTTTTGGCTGAGTAAGACTGATTATTGTTTTTTTTTTTTTTATATAAACTGTCTAAGCAAGGGCTGAGTTTGATCAAACATCTAGTAAAAAGAGAAATATGCTATTAAAAACACAGTTGAAGTCAGAATTATTAGCCACCATATATATATGTTTCCCCAATTTCTGTTTAAAAGATTTCTTCAACACATTTCTAAACATAATGTTTAATAACTTATTTCTAAAACATATAGCTTAAGGTGCTACTAATACTGACCTTAAAATGTTTGTTAAAAAAATTAAAAACTGGTTTTATTCAAGGTGAAATAAAACAAATGAGACTTTCTTCAGAAAAAAAAAATTATAGTAAATACTTTGAAAAATTCCTTGCTCTGTTAAAAATAATTTGGGAAATATTTGAAAATGAAAAAAAAAATATATTTTTTTAAATAATAAAAATAAAAATAAAAACAAATAAAGAAATAATGCTAATATTAATGGATAATAATTGTGACTTTAGCTGCAGATAAACTTAAAATAAAATATTACTGTAGTATTTCAATTAATTAAAACTAAAGAAAAAAATGTGGTATCACTTTAGAATAATGGTACATCAAATAATGTTTTTACTTACATTAACAAAGTATCAATAATCTGGTAAAGCATCTATTAATAATAGATCAACATTGACTAATGCATTATTAACATTAACAACGTTAATGCAGAGTGAGTTAACATGAACTAACGTTAACGAAGATTAATAAATACCATAATATATGTATTACTAATTGTTTGTTAATGTTAGTAAATACATAACGTGCTATTTCAGGCTTTCCTCCTGGATTTTGCCTACCCAAATTCAAAAGCTTCATAAATCCACATGCAGAGGTGTAAACGCAAAAGTGTGGTATCATTTTAAAGAAAACCAGTTGAATTTTCATAAAACACTGTCGAAAACACTATTGACTTTTTGTAAACTCAAATTTGAAAGTGTACCTTTTAGGTTCTGTGTGGTGTAGGTTGCTGTAACTAATTTTGGTGGTTCCTGCACATGTCAGTAATCATATGAAAAAAGAAAAATGTCTCGATCACAATCTATGCAAAAGTTAATCTATTCCAACTAATGAGAGTACGGAACAACTTTTGGAGGTAATGGGCCAGTACGGACCTTCAAAATTTAAAGAATGCAGAAGTACATGATGTCACGGACCTGGTACCGGGTACACAGAGTTTAGGAGGGTGGACCATTATTTCAAAGTGTTGCCACACTGCATAAAATTATATGATTAATTAGTTCTGACAACATATGTTAATAGGTCATGCAACTTATTAAACCAAGTTAATTTTGTTCTAACCTAGTTTTATAAGCTAAGCAAGCTGCTTTAAGTCAAGTTTGTTGGACTCTGAAGGTTGATTTGATTCGGCTAAGACAAAAGGATTTTTACAGTGCATTAATGTCATATTATAATGCCGTAAAAATAATATAAATATTATATAATGATAATAAAAATACTGCTTTGATTCAATAAAAAAGCGAGAAAGAAGGTCAAATTTGTTATCAATTTATGGCTTTAGTTTTATTTGTATTTTGATTTAAATTTGCATAATTGGTGGTCAAGAAAAAACTCTTTACAATACATAATCCATATTCACACATTCACACAACTACTTTCATGTATTTAATATATTTAGAGACACTTTCTTTCTGTCTTTCTTTAAAAAATAAATAAATAAAAATAAACCTAGAAGGTCATGCTAGGTCATGCTACAAGACAGACAAACCATTTCATCAAAAAGTACCATTTGTTTACTTTACAGTCAAACTTCAGCCCAACAAAAATGGATGATGTAAGAACTGGAGCACTAAAGTGAATTTAGCAAAGCAATAACAGCACAAGATAGAAGAACCAGTTCTGCACCATTACCACCTACTGTAACCAATCTCATGGAAAATAAATAATTGATTACACCGTTAAATTGCATCATCTAAATTTAAGCCCTTTCGAATGAAAGGAAAGTGGATGATTTTTAAACTTTAATGCATGGTTTGCTCTGAAAGATCTACTATGCTGCGCCATTTCCAAAGCCCCCCCCGGCTAAAGATGTGGTCAATACACTATCGCAAAAAGCTGTCAGTTCTGTGAATCAAGCAGTAGAGGAATGTAGGCCATTGCATAAGCAACAGAAGATAAACATGATGGTACATCCTGCAGCATCAACACCGGCTGCAGGCGGCAAGGGTAGAATGACCTTTTCTGGCTTGATAAATCAGGTGGATTCACACTTAACCTGATGAAACAGGCTCCAGACTTTGGTGCTATCTATCGCACCATGAAAGAAAGAATGTGCAGTGTGGTATTCAGTAACTGCACCGGCGTCTAGTTTCTTACGTCAATTCCCACAGGGATTGCATGACTGGATGTGACACTACGAGCCATCTGCCATAGACGTCGCCCCCCTTTCCTGCAAACCAATGACCTGCCCACTACAACTACCCACCCATACGGAGAAATGTGCCGCATTTGCTATGCTGCCAACAACACGTTCCTGACTAATGTGGTCACTGCACCCATCAGCCACATATAAACACACAAACCCTTGCATCGACTCGCATGCATTCGCTCAGCATATGCTCCTGTTGCTGTACAGTACAAGTCATGTGTTGCGTCTTACAGAGACTCACATTGTTAAAATGCATGTCATGTAAGTGAATATGTTGGAAAGGCTGCACATGTTGGAGTTCCAATGTTTTTAATTATGAAACAGGCGATATTTAAAAGAAATGTTCACTACATATTGCTACTTGGTTGCCACTGGAAAAGCAAACCAGATACCTTTCAAATTTATGATTCTTGGTCACTTCCATAGGAAATACATAAAAGAACTTTCTTGATGTCTTTGCAGGAGCTTTCAGTCCTACTTAATTCCTTATTGGAAAACCGCTTCAAAATAATGCTTGTTATTTTGATTAGTCATTTGTTTTCACTTTTTTTAAATAAATTTTTACCTCCTGTCCTTTCATTTCTATACATTCTGTAACATTAGGTACACAGCTAATCTGATCTGATATGATGTGATGTTCACAAATATTATTTTTGTTTTTGGGTGAGTTTTGGATAACACAAATTGTAAGGGCTAGCATTAATATGGTTGGGACAGAGCACCTATAGCACTTTCCTTGCATTTGAATAGGCCCACTTACATACTGTGTGGCAAGATGTCATTGGGCTCTATTTTAACGAACTAGGCGCAAAGTCTACAGCATATGGTGCGAAAGCATTAAGGGTGTGTCCAAATCCACTTTTGCTATTTTAAGGATGGAAAAATATGCTTTGTGCCATGGCACATGGTCTGACAGTTCTGTGTTTATTCTTTTAATGAGTTGTGGGTGTGTTTTGAGCATAATGTGCATTAAACCAATCAGAGTCTCATCTCCCATTCCCTTTAAGAGTCAGTTGCGTCACGCCATTGTGCATTTGCTATTTACATGGCAGACTTTGTAAGTGGAAAAACTGAATGCTTCACTAGCAAGAAAACAGCTAAACAGATCATCTGCAGTGCAAGGATAAAGAATGAGCCTCCTCCATTCAGCCTTTTTACTTTCTCCTTACACTTTGCTCCTTTTCTTTCATGGATAAGAAAATGGTGTTGTACACACTCCACTGAAGACATCCATTAGCCTACATAATTAATATTGTTACTATTTTTAACTATTTCTAAATTTAGTTATAATTTCCAGCAAACAAACAAATTTAACAATAATTATGAAGTGTGGTCAAAAAACTTGGGAGTTATATCCAAACACAAATCCTATTTTTATACCCCATATTGTGATGCATACGTCTCCAAAACCCAACAGGTGAACAAATCTAAACTTTTTTTTATTAAAACAAATACAATTAAATATGCATATTTAAAATAATACTGCTAATAAAAATAACATTATGCAAACGCAAATTGTCATGAATGAACTGAAAAATGGCATAGATGCATGAAAAGGGCATGGAGGTAGTGGTTTTTATATTTTTGTAGAAAATAATCATGTTGGTAACATTTTAGTCCTTTATTTTTTTTTTATATGTATATATGTGTGTACTGCTGTACATCCTGTGTGTTTTAAGCATTTTAACCTGCATAGGTGCATAACTAATGTGCTCTGCGCTGGACTTTAGACCTTCTTTTAGATGGTCAATGGCACGCTCTATTTCAGTTCTTGAAAATAGCAACGCACCAACAATGCGCCTTAACACACTTCTATTTTAGAACGGCACATCCATGAGTCCACAAAGTGGCGCAAATGGATTTGCTATTTAAACAACATACGAAAATTACTATGGCACTGGTCTGAAAATAGCAACAAATTGCGCCAAACACATCTTGCGCCTTATTGCACCAGGCGTATGATAGGGCCCTTTATGTTCATAAAATGGTAGATGAAAAGCACCCAAGTGACCTACTACTTCATAAAGTTCTTAAGTGCATTTATGTCGGACACTTTACTATCCCATGAGTCCATTTAAGTGCATGTAAAAATTGAAGTGACACAACTGATGCAGGTTAGTCATGTGAAAACATCATGGCGGATGTACAGTACTATACCTATATACTTTATTTAATATTAAGAATGTAACAATAGCTATGTGGGAATAGGGGTTACATGCCACATAGTTCTAGGAGCTCATTTATAGGAACTAGCCATCAGGTTGGTCCATTGAGAAATTATTTTTTTGACATCAAGCAATATATTGTAGAAAATCAACAACTGGATGAAAGAGGACACTGTGATCTGAGCTGTTTATTGATTGTATCATGAGTTTTATGATAATGGAAATGGAATGTGGACATATAAATTATGACTGAAAGAGCAAAAAGGATTAAACCAACCAACCACAATCTGGAAAACAGGTAAATACAGATATAATTACCTTCTTGCATGTGTATGCCTACAGTAACACTTATGACAATGATTGTATGGCATGCATTCACCCAATAAACATACACTCAAGTCAGTTCCAAATAGTACCTGTTAGTAGGCTGGGTTGTTATGCTATTATGCAGGGTTAAACCTTATTCTGAACTAGAAGTCATTTAGGGTGCTTTCACATCTGTAGTTCGCTACATTTAGTCCGGACCGAGGGGAATAAATGATACATTGTTGCATTTTCTGCCGTCTTTGGGTCGTTTTCACACCTCACTGCTGGCTTTGGTCCGAACCAATTGAAAAGAACCAAAATGCACTCATCTGACAAAATCCACATCACTCATTGGCCAGATGTTGTTGAACAAAGTTCCGAAACTCCATGTTGATTGGTCAGAATTCACGTGCGGGAAAATGCTATTGAACTCCCGCAGGTAAACAAACCGGCAGACACAAAATGTCGCTTTTAACTATGGAGGGACGACTGCATTGACTGATTGTATCCTTGCTTTAGACAAACTATACATTTCGAGAATGAAGCACGGCCAAGGCTGGAAAACAATGTTTTAATGCATCGCAAGTCACTTTAGGAGGAGGTGTGAATTAATTTAGCTAAACTGCGACATGGTCATCTTGCGGAAATATAAGCAACGATCCATCAGGTAATGTATTTCCCTCTCTTTCTCTGTTGGTAAAGCGATTTCAACAAATATTTTTCCTCCATATCCCATGTTGCACAGTGCATCGGCCTACGGCAGCTGGATTAGTCCAAAAGGCGCAGTACTTTTTGAGGTTGGTTCTGTTTTAGTTCAGATCATATTCTCACCACAAACGAAACGCTCCAGGGTTCATTAGAAAGCGTACAGAGACCAGCTCTTCAAGCAGATCTCGTCCACTTTTTTGGTCCGCTTTTGGTGCGCACTCGAGTACGATAGCATTCACACCTGTCCAAACGAACTGCACCAAGAGGGAAAACGAACTCCAGTGCGATTCAACCGAACTAAGTGCGGCAGCTGTGAAAGCACCCTTAGAGTCCCAAAATGGTATTATTATAACTAAAATCACTTAAATACATTGTAAACATCTTAAAAAGTAGGAAAGTCCAACAATAGTTATATTAACTACAGTTAAATCTCTGATTATTTATCTTTATTTTGTTCAAAAAGGAAACTAACCCGAGGGAATTTCCCAGGTGAGTCTTTGGCCCCCTGTCTCTGTAGACCCCTGTTGAGGATCTTGGTGGATGGGATGTGCCACTTGGCTTCAGGAACACATGGCGATCCTGAAAGTCATGGATGTGATGTTACTGTCATTGATTGGTGCACAATTAATGATTAAACTAATTAGCCTATCTTAACCTACAGGTGTCAATTCTAGTTCCTGGAGGGCCGGAGCATTGCACAATTTACTTTTAACCCTAATTAAAACACACCTAATCAAACTAATTGAGTCCTTCAGGCTTTTTGAAACCTCCAGGTAAGTGTACTGGAGCATGGTTGAAACTAAACTGTGCAGAGCTGCGGCCCTCCAGGAACTGGAATTGACACCTGTGTCTTAACCCATTGATTTACTGAAATTGAATGTCTTGTGTGTAATTTAATGCAGCTTGTTGCATTTATAAAACAAGTAAATAAGCCAGTTAAAGTGGGAAATCATTTCTATAATTCATCTGAAAGTAATGAAGCTTAATCTGCACTGGAGCTTGAGGAAAAACAATGCTTGTGTACCAGCAGATCGCGTCCTCTCCAGTTTGTGCTCTCTTTCTCCATCCTTTTCCTCTGGCTGGTCATGAAGGGCAGGTGATTGTGATCTATGAGACAAACAGACAGTGTTAGAGTGTAGATGTTTGCTGCATATATTCTTAGACATTAATGATATTTTAGTGTTGCTACCAAAGCATGTTGCATAAGCTTGAATAATGCATTTCATATGAAAGGACAATGTCTAACAGTAGGCTTTTCACACTACACTTACCCTCAGGTTACAGTCATGCTTTTAACCCTGGGAAAAGGAACGTTTCACACTTTAATTTAGCAGGGGTGGGTTTCACTTAAATGCAGTGTTTGTGACACCTCTGTTGTTTTAACTGCACAATGTGACGTCGGACATGTGGTGCATACCAATGCAAGACTGTAGATTACAGTAAAAAGCTTAGCACTCTACAGTTAATCATACTTCATCTGCATGCTTCAGGGCAGTGAGAGAGTTATTTCAGTGTTATTTTTAGAGACCATTTATTTTTTACCTTTATAATCAGAAAAATACATTCAGCAGTAGGGCTGCACAATATTGGAAAAATCTGATATTGTGATATTTTATTTATCTGCGATATATATATTGCAATATGCTGCATGAATTGATCACCAAATGATTGAATAGCACTATTTAGAAAGAATTTATGGTCATGCTTTATTTTAACGTTTACTTCTCGCTATTAGCAAATCATTAACTATGACTTTTGCTTCAAGTAACTAAGTCCTAATTTGCTCCTTGTTAATAGATATCAAGGTATTTTAGATATTGGGTTAGGGTTGCAGAATATAATCATGCAGATATTTAGTTTATAAATACTATTAAGCAGCCAATCTATCAATAACATGCATGCTAATAAGCAGTTATTTAATAATAAGAGTTGGTCCCTAAAGTGTCACCAAATTTATTAATTTTGATTGATTAGGAGGATTCTGTAAGGAAGTGAGTGATGCATAAAATGTAATAAACAAATTACAAGCATAGATAAGTACAATTAAGCAAAGATGAAAGTGAATTAAGCAGTGAATCCTTTGTGGTTTTGTATATATAAATGTAAAAAAGTTACACTGCAAAGGCTATTCCTGTATTCATTAAACTTTCAATTGGCAAAGGGCCTTGTGCCTGAATACTTTGATCTCTCACAGGCCAAATCCAAAAACATGTTGTGGTTAAATTCTGCAGTGACTTTACAAATATTATGTTCTGAATTGTGACTTTTGCTCAAATATAATCCCAACTCATTGCAATATGCGATGTGACTGTTGCGGATGCACACATTGCGATATCAATGTCGAAATGATATACTGTGCAGCCCTATCCAGCGGATACATTTTCTGGCAATCAGCAATACTATAATATGAAAATATGCAATGCTAGATCCTTCATTCTTAGGTTGCATACTGCTTTTGTCTAGTAAAAGACTCATCGCAGATACACAAATGAGAAAGTTAACTCAAATGAAAGTGATGATGATATAAAAACTAAATGTTCATTTATATTTTTGTTAAGTGAAATGAAAACACTGAATTTCACAACAAAAAACTTCTTCCACTAAGATATTAGCAAAAAAGCTACCTCAGCAAAATAACATATCAACAGTGCCAACTTGGGCTGCATTTACACTGCATGAATCAAGTGACTCGATTTGGATTATTTTTCTGACATGTGGCACAGATCAGAAATAGCCCATGTACGTGTAAGCAAAAAAAATAAAATAAAAAAATGGATCCCCATTTACTCAAATCAGATTCAGGCCTTGTTCATATGTGGAGATTTATCCGATATGAATCAGATCGGTGCTCTTGTGTCAATGCGAGTCGAGTATTATTAAAATGAATAACGTCAAATCTGACGCTTTCATTTCAAAACAGACTTCAGCAGAGTTCCAAACTTTAGATTTCATATTCTAGGACTATAGAAAAGCTTTTATACTGTCATGTAGCACAAGTGTTTAAGCATGTGTGGAGTGAGAGAGCACAATATCTGCCACGTAACCAATATAAGTTAATATAAAACTATTGCATACATCAAATGCTTAAATCACGCCATGGACATTACATTAAAATGCCTATTGTTTTAAAAAGGCCTAAGTTAACAGAAGATGGCCAAATGAGAACTTTTGTGTCATACTCTATAGTGAAACAGCTTGTCAAAAAGAATTTTATAAAAAATGAAACCCTGTGAACACATTAAATACAGGAACGGAGAAAAGAACGCTCTTTTATTATTAGCTGTCAGTCAGCGCAAGCACTTTTTTTTTCCTGGTCATTGCGACTTTGCCATGTGCTGTGTAAATTCAGACAATCGGATACGAGTCACTTTAAAAGATGATGTAAGATGGTCAACAAAAATCGGATACAGTCACAAAATCAGAATTGACCATCAATATCTGCAGTGTAAATGCAGCTTTAGTGTTCTGCAACTTAGTGTTGAAATGAATCGGGAAGAGAAACACCTAAATACCCGAGAAGTCTCAATGAGAACAAAACAAGTATTCTTCTTTAGCACTCAGAAAGTGATTTGATTTAGCATAGTTCACGTTTTTGCAGCACTAATCATCATGTGTAGCAAAGTTATGACTAACATTCATGGGAAAAAACCTCGACTGACATTTTAGACAGACCTTAAGGGAAAATCAAATGAAAAATATATGATTTAAACTGTTTTTTTGAAGCGAGTTTTTGAGTGGTTTAGTAAGGTGATGGAGTGGTCATTGTTTACCTTTATAGTCCCTTTAGCAAAAAAGGCTAAGTACAAGATGACGTTTATTCCAACTCTCATTGGTTTTTTAAATAGGATCTTAAAATAGTTATGCATTTACAGTGCATCCGGAAAGTATTCATAGCGCTTCACTTTTACCACATTTTTTATGTTACAGTCTTATTCCGAAATTGATTCAATTCATTTATGTCCTCAAAACTCTACACACAATACCCCATAATGACAATGTGAAATTTTTTTCTTTTTAAATTGTTGTAAATTTATTAAACATAAAACACTTGAAAAATCACATGTACAGAAGTATTCACAGCCTTTGCTGTGAAGCTCTGAATTGAGCTCAGATACATTTTGTTTCCACTGATCATTCTTGAGATGTTACAGCAGCTTCATTGGAGTTCACCTGTGGTAAATTCAGTTGATTGCACATGATTTGAAAAGGGATACACCTGTCTATATAAGGTCCCAGGGTTGACTGCATGTCAAAGCACAAACCAAGCATGAAGACAAAGGAATTGCCTGTACACCTCCGAGACAGGATTGTCTCAGAGCACAAGGCTGAGGAAGGTCACAGAACTTTTTTTGCTGCTCTGAAAGTTTTAATAAGCACAGTGGCCTCCTTCAACCATTAGTGGAAGATGTTTGGAACCAAGAGGGCTTTTCCTAGAGCTGGTCCCCCATCTAAGCTGAGTGATTAGGGGAGAAGGGCCATAGTCAGGGAGGTGATCAATAATCGACAGTCACTCTGTCTGAGCTCCAGTGTTCTTCTGTAGAGAGAGTTGAAGCTTACAGAAGGACAACTATCTGTGCAGCAATCCACCAATCAGGCCTGTAGGGTAGAGTGGCCAGAGGGAAGCCACTTCCCGCCTGGAATTTGCCAAAAGGCCTCTGAAGGACTCTCAGACCATAAGAAACAAAATTCTCTGGTCTGATGAGACTAAAATTGAACTCTTTGGAGTGAATGCCAGGCGTTACATTTGGAGAAAACCAGGCACCGCTCATCACCAGGCTAATACCATCCCTACAGTGAAGCATGGTGGTGGCAGCATCATGCTGTGTGGATGTCTTTCAGCAGCAGGATCTGGAAGACTAGTCAAGACAATGGGAAAGATGAATGCAGCAATGTACAGAGACATCCTGAATTAAAACCTGCTTCAGAGTGCTCTTGATCTCAGAGTTGGGCGACGGTTCATCCTCCAACAGGACAATGACCCAAAGCACACTGCCAAAATATCAATGGAGTGGCTTCACAACAACTCCATGAACTCCACCCCCGCCAGAGTCCAGACCTAAATCCTATTGAACATCTCTGGAGAGATCTGAAAATTGCTGTACCCTGTCGCTTCCCATCCAACTTGATAGAGCTTGAGAGGTACTGCAAAGAGAAATGGGCAAAAATTCCCAAAGACAGGTGTGCCAAGCTTGGGCATCATATTCAAAAAGACTTGAGGCTGTAATTGCTGCCAAAGGTGCATCAACAAAGTATTGAGCAAAGGCTGTGAATACTTATGTACATGGGATTTTTCAGGTTTTTATTTGTACTAAATTTGCAATAATTTCAAAACCAAAAAATCAGATTGTCATTATGGGGTGTTATGTGTAGAACTTTGAGGAAATAAATTAATTTAATCCATTTTGGAATAAGGCTGTAAGATAAAAAAAAAAAAAAGAGGAAAAAGTGAAGCGCTATGAATACTTTCCGGATGTACTGTATGTTTTTGCCTCTGTCTAGGGTTATTTGTGGCTGTGACTGAACAGCTGATGTTTACCAAGCTGGTCATGAAATATTAGCTCACGACCGAAAAGACAGTCCAATATCACTTTTCTTCATATTCTACCTTAATTCTGTTTGCACCAAAGATTTGCACCAAATCTCGTATGATTACTCATTTGATAACCTCTAAATCCGGATGGGCTTTGAGTTACAACCAGAATCTCATTACCCGTCATAACTGGCTTTCTGAGCCCAAGTGCCACAGGGACCAGGATCACTGGAGGTTGATTGGTTACTGGGAGAACTGCAGTAATGCTGGCCGGAATTTCCAGACGGACTCTGAACCATCTCGAAGTCCTGCAATACCCTGCAATAAGCGAAGACAGGGTTAGAAGCTCATTAATCAAAGCTCTGGTGGCAAAAGCAATGAGAGTGCTACAACAAAACTCATTCATATTCCCGACCGTTGGGAGCAAACACTGTCAAAAAAAAAAAAAGTGTTGGAGCAAAATCTATTTTTAGCAGAAGCCCGTGTCTCCAGGGCTGGGAAGGTCTGTGCATTCCAGAGGGGAAATAAGAGTAACATCCACCAAGAAGGAATGACACGCCATGTGCAATGCTGATCTCAGTAGAGGACGAGATGACAGGCTGGGGTGAAGAGGCCGCAAAGGTGTGTGCATTTCAGACAGGGTGAAGACACTAGCATAAAACACACACTCGCTTCAAATGCACAACAAGACACAAATTAGCAAAGGATTCCAAATCTACAGCACTGGAAACATCAAGTTCCCAATTAGCTCACCCTTAAAGTTGTCTCCTGAGAAATGCGAAAGTGAATCAATGCCACATCAGACTTGGATATAATCATTCCAGACTTTTTTGCCCTGTGTGTAATCCACAGTGTGGCATGTATCATCCTTAATGGCTTCTATGTGCTTCCTTTTGGGCTTTCCCAATGGATTTGTCAGCAGAGATGTGTCTGGATGATCAGATATCACTGTTATGAATCATTGATTCTTAAAGTTTGCTGTTGGTGAGTCTGACAAAAAGCAGGTGCTGTTTTATATTATCTGTCCTGACACATTTGCAGTGGTGTACAAATATGAGATTATGCTCAAAATATTCAAATCAATTCAATTTCAATTTAATTTATGTTTATTTCTATAGCGCTTCTACAATTTAGATTGTCAAAGCAGCTTAACACAGAAGTTCTAGTAAACTCAAACTGTGTCAGTCCAGTTGCCAGAAGTGAAGTGTAATTTAGTTCAGCTCGATTCAGTGTGGTTTAAATTTCACTGCTGAAAGTCCAAACACTGAAGAGCAAATCCATCCAAAATATGGGCTTTTCAGCTTTTCTAGAGTTAAAATTGAACAAAATTTTGGCAAAAATTGCTATTTTTTTGTTTAAATTTAGGTAACACTTTAAAGTTATAAATGTTCTATGTACTTAGAGTAATTAGGGAAGCATGATCCCTTTTTTGGAACTGATCCAATCACGATAACAAAAAATATCAGCCCATACAGATCCAATCCGATATTGTGCAGTATTTTTTTATACATAAAACAGTTTCTATAGTTCTACTAATCTGAGTTATAAACTCAAATACTATATATAAACAGAAAAGACAATTGTTGCAAATACAATTTATTATGCTTAACACAAAACTTACCCAAAACCTAACCTGCTTTCTAATCCTAAAAATATAGTTAGTACATATAATTCATTAATATTACTCATTAGTTAAATGAATAGTTACACAGTAACCTTACATTACAAATGTAATAATATATAAGGGACATTCTACCAGAAACATTCATTTTCACTAATAAAAAAATTTGACAGGGCCTGACCTTTAAGTTTGTCTCTCAAAAAATCATACAAAGCAAGCATAAAAGAACACAATTCAATGATAGAGCTCATCCTTGATCACTGTCAGCTTCTCTATCAAGTGATATCACTTTCTTAGAGCCATAGCCTTAAAGGAGTATTGCACGCATTTTATGTTAAATTTAATGCATATGTGAAAGAACCGACAGAAACATAGGGACAATTGTACATTTATTTGTATTATATATTTGTCGTATTTATTTGTAGAATTTGTTTATAATTTCATGTTTTTAATCAATTGATGTGAATGATAACAACTTTGCTATTCCTGAAGTTTTTTTAATCTAAATAACAATTCGAGCTGTAGGTTCCATTGGGCTGAGGACAAAGACAATGATGGGGCTTGTAAATTTGTAAAGTGTTTTTAATAAAGAACAAAAATCTGAGAACCAAATGAAAGACATATTCCTTTACAGAACAACCCACAGAAATTAACCACTAGTCCATTTAAAACATTTCAGGGATGAAATACTTTTTATTCACTGTATTTATGTTTTCATTTCAGGGACAAATAATGTTTGTTTCTGGTAGAATTTCTCATATATTTATTTTATATTTACTTTTATCTATATAGCTATATATATATCTCCATTACAGCATGTGCGTCAGCTGTTTATTTCAGCTGTTTATTTGTGTGTGCGCATGAGAATTTTCATGTTGGGTGTGTGTTTGTGTTTGTGTATATATATATATATATATATATATATATATATATATATATATATATATATATATATATATATATATATATATATATATATATATTTTTTTTTTTTTTTTTTAATTTTTTTTTTTTTTATCTAGATTTATTTATTTAATTATTGTGGTTTCACCCCAGGAAAAAAAAAAACAATTCCATAAATATGCTCTTATGTCCTACCATAAAAAAGTCTAAATCCACTTCATTTTTGGGTTGGGTTGTAATAAGACCTAGACATTTCCGAGCGAAGGTCTACTATTTAGGAAGATAATATAACATCCTTTAATCAATTCCCATCGTGTAATGTGAGCTATCAACAACGTTTGCCCTTGTGTCTGACTGCAGGCACGTTTTTGCAATAGCAGTCCATGTAAAACTCACTTCCAGATCAATCGTCATTGCAGAAAAACAATATAATCTATTCTGAATATCCACCATGACGGGAGACAAAGGTCTAAAGCAAAAATAGGCCCAGGGACAACAATTTACATGCGTGCACACAAATAAACAGCTGACCCACATGCTGTAATGGAGATGAAACGATCAATTACACCAACCAAAACCAATCCAATCCATGATAAGAGTCTGCAACTTTATTCCTATGTCCTATGTTCATGAATGTTAAAGTCTTCTTTAAGTCTTTCAAATGGAAGTTTTCAAATCGGCATAATAGTGTCATAATTTGAAACACAGAGGTCAAAAAAAAAAAGAAAAAAAGGTGGATATAAAAGGTGGAGTAATATCTCTAGTTCACCACGGGGCTTGAATTGCAATTCTACAGACTATTAAAATCACTGGTTTAAATGTGCAGAATGTGCATTTAAAATAATTCAATCCAGTATCTCTTACCTAGATCCATCCTGGTATTTCTTATCAAAAGAAGTGCTGCGTGAGATAGCAGCTTGCGCGTACTGGAACATCTGTTGGCTCGGGGAGGGTCGATCGGGCCCTTGAGTGGGAGAAACCCGAGACAGAGGCAGGCCCTGGGGAACGTGAGTCATCCTGTGCCAACCAGGCCCAGTACCAAGAGTCTTGTACTCCATGATGGGGACACGATACAGCTCTGAGGCACCTCTGAAAAAACAGGCATAGAACATGGTTTATTGGACTTATATTATAGTAATAGCTCGGTATTTATTAATACACTACTACTGATGAATGTTGGCAGCCAATGACATCCATAGTACACTGTAAAAAATGCTGGGTTCCACACAATTCCTTCATGTTGTCCAAACACAAATCTATTAAGTTAACTTAATAGTTTATAAAAATGTAATTGGATTGAACATAAAATAGTTAAGTTGTCCCCACAAAAGCCTCAAGAATTGTGTTGATTCGGCTCATTTTAAATATGTTGTTTGAAGAAACACCAAAAAAATCAATCTTATTAAGGAACTATTAAGAAAGTTAATGGCTACTGATTTTCAACATTCTTCAAAATTTCTTCTTTTGTGTTCTACAGAAGAAAGAAACACAAATAGGTTTGAAAGAAGAGGATGGTAATTCTGTGACAATGTTTCATTTCAGGGATACTATCCCTTTAAAATCTTTCTGAAAACTGAGGTTTTTTTAGCTTTCAGATAAATAGAAAGAACAGATTTATGCTTCAGGGTGCATACAGACAGTATGTTTGTATTTTACAAAAATCACGTCTTCTCCGGCTGCTCTTAACTATAACAAGTTATGCACAAACAGATATCTGGGATTTAAAAACAAGTTAAATTTGAACAGTATGAGAATTTAAAATCATTTAAAGAGCACCTATTTTATCCCTTTTTTCAAGATTTAGGAGGTCTTTTGTGTCTCCAGAATGTGTTTGTAACATTTCAGCTCAAAAACACCCATCAGATTATTTATTATACCTTTCAGAATGTTGGGATTTTTCGCTCTGAACACAATGCAGGTGTTTTTGTGGCCTGTGCCTTTAATGCTAGTTCTCCCTACCCACCATTCCCACATGCCTGTCAGAGTGTGCCTCAATCTCTGTCTTTGCTGCGTCAGATAGACAGCACAGTGACAGACATGAAGGAAGCAGATCTCACTAAAATTTGTGAGAAATACTACAGTAAGAACTTTCCCAATGATTATTTAATGTATTTGTTGTGGAGTTAATTCAAGCCTCTCTACAACGAAGAGTCACACTTTTTTACTGTATTTTGCTGTATTTATTACAAACATGCACTGTTTTAAACACATTTTAAACTTGTAAAAGTCATTCTTGATCACATTTGATGATGACTGATGATCACAGAGAGCTGAACAGATCTTTTAATCCCAGTTGCTTTGCGCACATCCTGTCTTGTTGATATGATTATACGCGTTACTTCAGAGACATGTTAATATGTGGCTGTCAATCAATTCAGTGGGCGGAGAAACTGACATCAACACAATCTTGTGCCTTTCCATGTGTAATTAAAACTGGTTCATTTTACAATTCTAATGTTTCCTTCAAATAGTATTCTAATACAAAACTTAATAAAAACTGCAATAAAAATGTGTTATGAAACTGAGGAAAATTAGTAAAAACTTGTATAAGAATAAAAGAATATATTAAAAATATTATATAATATAATTATATAAAAATTATGTAAAATAATTATATATAATATACAGTTAAAGTCAGAATTATTAGCCCCCCTTTGAATGTTTTTTGCTTTTTTAAATATTTCCCCAAATGATGTTAAACAGAGCAAGAAAATCTTTCACAGTATGTCTAATACAATTTTTTTCTTCTGGATAAATTCTTATGTTTTATTTAGGCTAAAATAAATGTGTTATTTTTTTATTTTTATTTTTTAAATCATTTTAAGGTCAAAATTATTAGCCTCTTTAAGCTATATATTTTTTCGATAGTCTACAGAACAAACCATACATGCCTAGTTAACTTAACCTAGTTACGCCTTTAAATTACATTTTAAGCTGTCTAGAACTGTCTTGAAAAATATCTAGTAAAATATTATTTATTGTAATCATGGCAAAGATAAAAAAATATTAAGTTATTAGAAATTAGTTAAAACTATTATGTTTATAAATGTGTTGAAAAAATTCTTCTTTCCGTTAAACAGAAATTGTGGAAAAAAAACAGGGGGGTGAATAGTTCTGACATTAACACTATATAAGAACATATTCCAATTTATTAATATGGAGTTTTTAGACATGGATCCACGCTTTTTGGACTTATATAATAGTATTAGCTCTTTATTGATTAATACACTACTATTAAAGAATGTTGGTAATTGGCAGCCAATGACATCCATAGTACACTGTAAAAAAAATGCTGGGTTCAACACAATTCCTTCATGTTGTTCAAACACAACTTGTAGTTAAAGCTGGTTTATTTTCCAATTCCAATGTTCCCTTAAGTACTATTCTAACACAATAATGTGCAACCAAATGTGTTATTAAAATGGAAAAATGTCCATTAGTCCAATAGTCGGGCTATTTCTAAGAATATATTCCAATTTATTAATAAGGGCTCTTCACTCTTCCTCTAATCAGCTAGTGTAATGCTAAATTCCCCATCAAGGGAAGACTTGTAAGTGAAATTGGCAGAACGTATTAAATAATAATCACTGCAGGGCTGTTTGGCAAGAGAAAAGACACATCGGCAAATGAGATGACAAATGGTATCAGATAAAAGATGTATTGTATTTTTTTCCAGTGATTATCTGTGGCGTGTGTCATTAGATGGGGGGAAAAAAACTAAAAGAACAAATAAAAATAAAAAATAAACACCAGCCTGACCCACGGCAGCAGGATTCACTGATGGTTAATTATTTGTTTCCGATCTAATCCAGCCATACACACAAACACACATGCACACACACACACACACACTGAACTACTTCCACAGCAAAAATCTCTGGTGTTTTCTTGAAGAGCTGGAGAAGACAAGAGCTCTCAAGACAGATTTGCACAGCCTCTACAATGAGACACAGTTCTTCGTCTTCTTCTTCTTCTTCAAAAAAAAAAAAACTACTTCTATGAAGACCACAGCACTCTCAAGACTCTCACGCACAAATTCCTGAAATTGAGAAACGCCTCGCAAACAAAAGGCTTGCGAATGAACACACTGATACATTTACTTTGATATTCAACACATCTCAGTTGGCATGATCTTAAGACAGCGAGCAACCTAGATTTTTTCATTCTGTTATGCCTCTGCCAGGTTGCTAGTTTTAACACACTTCTTTGCTGTTGTTAAGGCATCTGGGGAGGTTTAAGTGCATTTATAAACTACAGTCCAATTACCGTTTTTCTCAGTCACTTTGGTGCGTTTCTCACAAAACTATGTACATTTGCACAACAGTTAATGCATTTCTCAAAACAATAAGTACAAACTGCAAAACCTAGTTGATAACCTGCAAAAACGAGTCACTTGCTCAAAATGGATAGCTCATTCCTCAAAAGCAAGTATTGATGTCAATGAAAGTGTCAGTGTCATTAAGATGAAAAGTCCTGACACCATTGTTTATGAACAAGATAGTCAAATGGCTTTGTCATGTTTTCATTATGACACTTTACTCTGTAAATTTTTTCCAGTGCAAAAACTCAGATTTTGATGAAACTTCCTGAAAATGCTCAAGACAGCACTATATACTATTTGCACAGCCATTTGAAAACAGTAAAGTAAGACATCATTGCATTTAGTAAGGTATTTGAGTACAAGACACTGAAGATGTGTTTCACGTGTTTACTGCATTTGCTTATTGCAATTCTAATTTATTCACAGCATTGTGCAAAGAAATAAACACACCCTTATTCACAACAAACATAAACTTCCTTTGAGTAGAGCTGTGCACAACTGTACACAATATTGCAGTACATATTGGAACTGAACCTACAACTTACACAGGTCTGTAAATCATTCATGAAATTATTTAACTTAGAAGACATTTTCAAGGAAATTATTTTTTTATGTTTTGATTACCGATTTTGAAAACTAGTTCAACATTTCTGTATGTATTGAGTCAAGTAATAAAATGAGGACTATTAGTTTTATATGGAATGACTATTCAGCATTTACAAGTTTAGTTCATTTTGACTGACATGACATAAGCAAATAATAATGTTATAAAACAGCAGAGAGTTGTATGAAAGCAATTAATGCATGTCCAAAAGCATTTGCAATAATTTGGTAGGAATGAACTGCTACTATGATGTGCACAAATAACTAATTGTTTTGAACAGTTAATGAAATGCATTAACTGTTGTGCAAATGTAAATAGTGTTGTGAGAAATGCACCAAAGCAACTGAGAAAAACTGTAATAGGTAACACAAGAAATCAGATTTCAGTCTGACAGCTTCAAAAGCAATAAAATGCTAAGCTTTAAAGTATGGTTGGCTAGAAACATGTGTGCCATTCTTTATTTTATTCAATTAAAGGATGGATGGATGGATGGATACTTAGAGATAGATAGATAGATAGATAGATAGATAGATAGATAGATAGATAGATAGATAGATAGATAGATAGATAGATAGATAGATAGATAGATAGATAGATAGATAGATAGATAGATAGATAGATAGATAGATAGATAGATAGATAAAGACAGAGAAGGTTTGATTAAAATGTTGAATGCTGGCAGTCAGTTTATGTTAAAAGTTTAGCTGTATGTACAGTATAGGTGGTTTGTGTAAATTTGGTGATACCCCTATCAGCACAATAATAAAGAGAAAAAAACATAAAATTATATAGTAAAGTTGATATAAAAACGCTAGAGCTGGACAATGTTGGAAAAAACTGACATTGCGATATTTTGTTTTTCTGCAATATATATATTGTAACTTATAACTGACTTATAATTGACTTATAACTGGAAAAATTATAATTTTACATTGATTCTTTACATTGATTGTAGGGGAGTGAATGTGTATAAAATATAATAAACAAATTACACGCATAAATTAATAAAATAGAACAAAAATTGTTGTGCAAAAATTCAATATTAAAATCGAACATAAGACTTGAACATTAGAAATCGCATCAAAATTGTCAACAAAAAAAAAACTGTTCAACAACATCTGTTCTTATCTTAAGACGGCTTGTAAAAAGTTTTTAGAATACTTTTAATGTTGACTTTTAGTCTGCTTAGTATAACTAATTAAATACAAATAATATTTGTTAATGCTACAAAATTTAAAATTTCTAAAATTAAATTTGCTCAATATCTTTAGTCACATCTATTTAAAATTATTTCACTATTAGAGTTAAACTTAGGCTTAATTATAATCTCAACTCAACATCAAAGACGTATTACTCTAAAAATAATAAATATATAAATCGACAGATTCGTTAGACTACAAAAAAATCTAAGAAAAAAAATACATGGCTGTTGTGTTCAAGGTTATGTGTAATAAGTCAAAAATCCAAAAATGTCCACTTGAAGCTTATCCTGTTTAACATACTGTAATAATGACAAAAAATAAATAAATACTAGTGTAATTTCAACCTCATAGTTCAATTTTATATATGATTAATTAATATAACCTCATTGTGTAATTAATTTAATATTGTTTTCGATTAACTTAAATGTATTACTTTGCATTCAGTAGAATTTTGACAGTTAACAGCAATAATATTCAATTTGAATGGTTTGTTAAACCCTCTGCTAAAGTGCTGACATGTCCAGGCATGTTCTGTTAACTAGTTCTCTAGAAAAGGACTTGCCCAACATACAGATACAGTATGCAGAGCAGTTAAGGTCAACCAGAAGTGTCGGCAACAAAAAAAAAGTGTTTACAAAAAAGCCAAGAGCTCTTGATATCTCTGGCTTTCATGGGTTGCAGGGGGCCGAAAAAAGTCAATCCAGTTATTGACAGTTTAGAGGGTCACTTTAATCTCTGCCTTCAGATGCTCTTGGTAAGCCCTCTGCTCTTTTAAAATGAGCAAACAGAACACGAGGCACGTGTTCAACAAAGTTCAACAAGGTTCTGGGTCACTTTCTATTCCAGGACAGTTCGCTGTAAGTGGTTTCTTTCATGTAAAGGCTCAACAGAGGAGGGGAAAAAAAGAAAAACAGGGCCAGACTATGATCATATCATTCGCAGATTATCTCAAGAGGATTAATCTTCTCTTAGGGGTTGACCTCTGTTTACCCATTAGAAACTCATGCGGCACATCTGTCCACGAGTTACATTAAACACCATGGTTTCAGTTTTGAAGAATGTTTCTGTAGATGTGGCCAAACTTGCCCGTGACATGATAGATTAAGGCACCGTTTACATGAGGTATTAAGATTTCTTTATTTGTTAATAACGTCAGGTCAGGTGAACTTTATTTCTTTAGCACTTTATACAATGGAGGCTGTGTTAAAGCTGCTTTGCAAGGATGAACAGGGAAAAGGATAAAATAAAGTGGTATTAAGATTTAAGATTAAGGTTTTTTGTCTGATCATCATTTAAATTAAGGGTGTGAACCAGATAACTTGTCTGGATTTTCAGTTACATTTTATTGGCTTACAAATGCAACCAAATTAAATTACACATTTAATTAAACTCTTCTTATTAAAAATAACATATACCAACACTACACAAAAATAAAAAATAACATGTGTGGCATGTAAATCCAAATTAGAAAACAAAAATTAAGATAATCAATTATTTACTTTTTTACTGTACACATGGCAATCAATCAATCAATCAATCAATCAATCAATCAATCAATAAACTACAGTTAATTAGAAAAATATGTATAAAAAATTCAATTAAATAATCAAATAAAAATTTAAATAAATGAAAATAACTTAAAATATTAAACAATAATAAAATACAATAAAAAATAAAACAATCAGAGTAATAACTGAATTTAAATAACAATAAAAAATTAATTAAATTTAAAATAAAACACAATAAAAATAAATAAATAAAAAATAAAACAAAACAAAACAATAGTAAAACAAAACAAAGCACAAAAAACAAATATAAAACAAAAACGAAACAAAATAAATAAAACAAAGCCACAAAACAAAATAAATAATAAAACAAAAAGAAAGACAAAACAATAACACAAGATAAAATAGATCATAAAACAAACAAACAAACAAACAATAAAACAAACAAAACAAAACAAAAAAACACAAAATAAAACAAAACAAAAGCAAAACAATAACACGATAAAATAAATCATAAAACAGAAAGAAAAACAAAACAAAACCAAACAATAAAACAAAAACAAAACAAAAAGAAAAACAGAACAATAAAACAAAAAGAAAAACAAAACAATAAAAAAAAACAATGAAAGAAAAACAAAAACAAAAACAATCAAACAAAAAACAAAAACACAAAATAAAATAAACAATAATAAAAAAAAAAACAATAAAATCAAAACCAAACCAAACCAAAACAAAACAAAAACTATTTAGCTGCAATTCTGGAGAATGTAAAAACAAACCGCATACCTTCTAGGGGTGCCGTCCTCATGTGGCTGTATGACCACCACCGTAACAGGTGTGGAGGTCCGCAGATAGTCAATCATCTGCTCGTGAGTGAGATTTCCTACTGCGACCTTGCAGATCTCCACCAAACGACAGCCAGGGCGAAGTCCAGCTTGCCAGGCAAACCCAAACGGCTCCACGTCGGCCACCACTCCCTCAAAGTTGACATGAAAGCCCAGCTGGCCCAGGGCATTCCTGCGCAGGGTCATTTCTAGAGTCTCAATCCCCCTGGTGACTATCTGCAAAAAAAAAAAAAGCACATGGAGAAGACACAAGGACTTTAACCATCTGAAACAAGACCTTTTGTCACCTCAGTGAGTTTTAATAATAAAATCTGTTGTGTGAAGACGAGCATAAGGTTTTGCGCAGGTAAGCATGCAGATGATGGCTGAAGTCAGCTCTCTAAAGGGGGAAATTATCCAATGTCAAAACAACACTGAGACACAACAGGCCGGCTGACTGAAAAACTAAACCTGAAGGGAGAACCTGACACCAGAAGCAAACGAATGTTGGATAAAGCAGCTTAAAGCTTGAACATTCAACTACTTTATCCCAAAATAAACAGTTCCAGGCAAATCTCAGGTAAGCTGATCTTATCGGGTCTCTGCACAGCTACTCAAGAGTCCAAAAGCAGGAATAAAGACAACAAAAACACTGAAGTGGCTAAAACTAAATAGAAGCTTTCTTATCAATCAGCTGCTTAAATCAAACACAACTTGGCTTTTAACTGGCTAAATATGGTAAATATATGCATTTTTATTCAACAAAGCAGCAAAATGTTTTGTTTTTCTGTCAAGTTCAGTCATTCTTCCATGAAATATTTATGGGAAAACCACTTCTGGAACCAGCTTAACAGAAAATGTCTGCATTCATTCACTGTATTACTTTCTTCAGCATAACCCAAAAGATGATATTTAGAAAAGTGTTTCAAATTTTAATAAAGTAAAGTAAAGTAAAGGATGGATGGATGGATGGATGGATGGATGGATGGATGGATGGATGGGCGGACGGACAAACTGACAGACGGACAGAGGGACGGACAGACAGACGGACAGACAGACAGAGATGGATGGATGGATGGATGGATGGATGGATACTGTATAGACGGATGGACGGATAGATAGATATGTACTGTAGATGGGTGAAAGATAGATAGACGGATGAATGGATGGACGAATGGATGGATGGATGGATACTGTAGATAGACAGACAGACAGACAGACAGACAGACAGACAGACAGACAGACAGACAGACAGACAGACAGATAGATAGATAGAAAAATGTTTCAACTAAATAAAATAAAATAAAATAAAATAAAATAAAATAAAATAAAATAAAATAAAATAAAATAAAATAAAATAAAATAAAATAATATTTTTAAATTACAGTAACAAAAATAAAATAAATTACTAAATTTAATTAAATTTAAAAATAAATAAATAATAAACATAAAAGACTAAATTTTAGATTAAGAATATGATTTTCACTGTACATGTATAACCTATTTTTAAAAAAATCTTTTGTGTTCCATATAATAATAAGTCAGCTTTAGAGATGCAGCTTTGGAGTTACATGAAGGTGAGAAAGTGAAGAACGAATTAAATTATTCTTTTTTTGCTTATTCATGTAAGCCAACCACACTGATGGTCTGCTGCACAAAAGCTATGATGATGACAGCAAACCACCCAACACAATAACCACATTTAAGAGCATATTAAAGGACACCATTTCACAAGCTGTCAAAAAAGAAAGAAAGCGGACCACACAAGCTGACTGGGTCCATTACCATAAACAGCATGTACACCCATTTAACCTCCCATTGCACTGTAAAAAAGAAAGAAAAGTGCCAGTCTGCAGGTCTGGCCCAACTGAGCATGAACGGGCGGCAGTTAAGCACAGAAGTGGAACTAATATTGTTTCATTAAGGTGTGCTATGACTTATGCATTTATTCAGGAATGAATCAAACTCATTGTTCCGCTAAGCCAAAAGTAAACGAAGGTACAGAAATCAGCTCTTTCTACCTTTCTAATGCTAATCTGCTGACCCTTAGCCTTGGATTTCAAGAGTAACATGATCCTGTATACCAATACCACCTGCTTATTCATGGTAAAAGGCAAGTCTGGTCGGAGCTTCAGCTTAGATAAAACTTGATCTTTCCTCTCGGATTGGTTACTCATACCTCTAATCGCTGGACGACCTCACGAACTTCCTCCGGACATCCATCCTGCACAGAAAACACAGCGCAGTCGCCACGCTCGTAAAACAGCTTCACCCTGCCCACCGTTGAGGACGAGCTCCAACCAATCACGTCCTTGCAGTAACAGTTGAAAACCACATCCCGGGACGCTTCCTCAATGAGCACCACAAACTCTCTGGAAATGGCCAGTAAACATCCAATATCACTGGACTGGCAACTGTCCCGGGCCACCACTGACCATGTGACGGCTCCGGTGCTGTACAGATGAGCGTTGTTTCTGGGCCGGCTGCGCTCCTTTCTTTTGGCACCCAGGGTGATGAAGCTGAATTTGGGACCTGAGGCGTCCACGGGCGTCGCGCTGGTGAAGTTTTCCACTAGGTCTTTTAGGTATTCCTGACGGGTTCGAGTGGCCATGGCGCGGAACTTTTCCGATTTGTGGGCCGAGTTTTCTGCATTGATCACCTTTGCCAGCAGGAAGTCCCGGAAAACTGCCGATTTTGGGAACATCACTCCTTTGGGGATGAGAGGACCAAATGCAGGCACGTCTTTGGATCTGGTGACTGCAATGCTATTGCAGGATAAAAAAAATGACATTATGTTAAGTCACATTAAAGCAAACATATTTTATTTTCAGCTTTCTGTTAACCAAAACACCTTGACAAAATAAATTAATTAAATAAATAAAAGACATATAGTACATCCCATTAAGAAAATTATTATTTTGATCCATTTCCGAGAGAATATAGGCGATATATTTTGATGCATTTAAACAAATCACAACTTAAATAGTTTTATAAAACAGCTAGATCCATTAAAACAAGAGTTTTACAGTTTAGGAATTGAAAGATAATACATCCAAATTCAAACAAGTTATTGCAAATGAAAATTGCAAGCTACAAAATTTCAACCAATTTTTTTATGCTCCCCCTGATTTTTTCTGCTGTGAAACTTTAATATTTCCCTCACCTTATTCATTCAGGTGTACTCATTTCAGGACTGAGATCTTTATTTATTTTTTTAGATACAGTTGAAGTCAGAATTATTAGCCCCCCTGTTTATTTTTCCCCAATTTCTGTTTACCAGAGAGCAGATTTTTCCAATACATTTCTAAACATATTAGTTTGAATAACTCATTTCTAATAACTGTTTAATTTTATCTTTGAAATGATGACAGTAAAAAATATTTGACTAGATATTTTTCAAGACACTTCTATACAGCTTAAAGTGACATTTAAAGGCTTAACTAGGTTAATTAGGTTAACTGGGCAGGTTAGGGTAATTAGGCAAGTTATTGTGTAACGATGGTTTGTTCTGTAGACTATCAAAACAAATAGAGCTTTGATGGGCTAATACTTTTGACCTTAAAATGTTTTTTAAAAAATAAAAAACTGCTTTTTATTCTAGCCGAAATAAAACAAATAAAACTTTCACCAGAAGAAAAAATATTATCATACATACTGTGAAAATTTCTTTGCTCTGTTAAACATCATTTGGGAAATACTTAAAAAAAAGAAAAAAATTAAAGGGGGCTAATAATTCTGACTTCAACTGTATATTAAAAAGTGTTAGCGATTTGTGTCAGATACCTTTATATTTGTGTTAGACACGTATTTATATGCGTGTTAGATTCAGATGTTACATTTGTTAAAAAGTTCCAGTTTTGGTACTGAGTTTTTAACATTTTAACACTAATAATAAATGTTAAAAAGCGTTATTTCAAATCTGAGGGTTTGTGTAAAACTATAGACTGGAGTAATGTAATAAATAGACTGCCGGTCAAAGGTTTAGGGTCTTTTTTTTTTTTCTGTTCATCAAGGTGTCATTTATTGAATGTAAAAAATTGTTAAATTGTTAAATTCTTATTTATTAAATATTTATTTATCGCATATTTTATTTAGTTTCAAATGAAATTATTACTCCAGTCATTATTGCGTTAATAATAATAACAACAATATTAAAAATAATAATAACAATATTTATTATTAATATTACAGTGATTTTTAAAGGATCGTGCAACTCTGAAGACTGGAGTAATGAAACTGAAAATTCATCTGAAAATCACTGGAATAAATTATAAAAATTAAATGATAAACCAATTTAGAACAGTTTTTTTATAGTGCAATAACATCTCACAATTTTACTATTTGCACTGTAATTTTGATTAAATAAATGCAGCCTAGGTAAGCAGGATAAGCTTTAAAAATTTAAAAACTTTTGACTGATAGTGTATATATATATGTAATTTAATATTATTTAACGTCAAATGTTGCATTTTATTTGTATTTATGTCAGGAAGATTGGCTATATTCAATGCATCAACAAATCATGTTCATCATTAAAGCAGTAGCATTTCAATGAAACACTTACAATAATTTACCAAATGTATACCTAAATAGTCAGCACATGATAAATACAGATCAAAGCTCTCCAAACATACTGTATGATAAAAATTCAATTATCATTCCAGAAAAAAATATTTTCAGATATATTCACACTCAAATAAACAAACAGGCTTCCCTTCTCTGCAATAAATGAGAACGCGTGTTCAATATTTCAATCTTCAATATCAATTAACAAAATGCATTATCATTGATATATTACTGCTATTTAAACACAAAAATGGAACAGCATAATGTATAATACAAATATGCCTTCCTATTCTAAATATTCAACTGGAGTCTCAAGTTCAACTGTAAATATTTATAATATCCACAAAAGGCTGTGCAGGATGAATTATAGACATATATTCTGTTTGACTTCATATTTGACAGCATTTCTGAAGTCTTCGGGCAGAAGTCTCTCCCAGATGAGACGGGCAATTTCTCTTTTGCGTCGGCTTCAGCCACCCTCAGCTCTCTGCAATGTTACGCTGAACAAGCTTAAGGGGTACACACTGAGTAAATAAGACTGGAAATTGAATTCCCTTCGATCTTATCCTTTAATCCTCTCCCTATCATTCTGAGAGGTCAAATCTGACTGTCAGCAAGCCGTTTGCAAAAGCATCTTCTCCTGCCGTCCCACAAATCTTTCATTTACAAAGCTGAATGATCATTCAGGACGGTCGGCATGACTTTGTGAATAACAGAACTATTTACTAGAGCAAAAACATATGTATAAGCCAAACCAGGGGAAATATTATGCCCCCTTTTACAATATTTAAATGATCTCTGATTTTAGCTTTAGCTCAAAATACCAAACAAATATTTATTAATAATGATTTAAAACTGTCCCCTTTAAGGTTTTGACACAAATTGTGCTATTTCAGTGACTGTTGCTTTAAGTTCAAATGAGATTGTACCCCAGCCCTCTTTTAAAAAGAGGGAGGAGCTACAAATGCCTATGTGTCAGCATAGCAGCAGATCCTAAACCGGACATTATTTCTGAGAGTCTTAAGCGTTTGTGTGCATCTAAAACTCCAAGTCGCTGACATTATCTTCTGCAGGTGCGGTCTAAAAACTCTAATGGCAGACAGCTGCTTCTCACTCAGGGCTGTTTATGTTACTGAGGGAGAGATCATTATAATAAGCAGGGCTTTCCCCCTTTGAAGACATTTACAAATGGAAAATGTTAATCAAAGTGTTTCTGCAGGTTGTTTTAATCAAGTGTGATAATAAAAAGTAGAATTTGTTTATTTTTACCATTAAATGTTGGCTATAGTCACACACTGCTGCCTATCAACTGTGTTTAAAGTCCTTATAAAAGTGATTTTTGCATAATAGGTCCCCTTTTTAATAAATCTGTAGCTGAATAACTGACAATATACAGTACATCTTACCTGTAACACACGTGCTCTGTGCAAGGGTTGTGGACTTTGACGATGATGAAGACATGCTGAAAATGAGAGCGTATGTTTTGGGGTGTGAAAGGTAAAGATCCTGGCTCCTGGAAAATGATGGTAACAATGTCATTTCCAATGTGCCTCTTCCTTAGCAGCTGGATAAAGGAAAGATAATAGGGAGAAAAAAAGTCTTTACATTTTAACCTAGTTACAGTTGCAGCAATCTAATCAGAAACCCAATGTAAAAAAAAACTTTAATACCAACTATATATATTAACAATGGACTATGTACAGTACAAATAAAAAAAAATAAAAATGCAATAAGAAAAAAGAAAATAATAAGAAACACGAAATAAACTATAATTAACATGAAATATATAATAAAATGCAACATAAGAAAAAAGTAGCACAATAAAAAAATATAAAATACAAGAACATTTTAAATAACTAATTAATAATAATAATAATAATAATAATAATAATAATAATAATAATAATAATAATAATAATAATAATAATAAAACACCAATTATGTGAACCTGAACCTTAAAACCAGTTTTATGTTGCATTTTGGCAATAGACAAAAATACATAGTGTGGGCCAAAAATCATAATTTTACACCAAAAAAATTAATTTACTACAACAAATATATCAAAATAAAATAAAAATCAAAATAGTAATGAGCATCATGAAATACTACGATTTTTTTGAACCATCAGATTCCACATAATAAAATATTGTCCCATGACAAACTGTACTTTGGAAAGCTTATTTATATAGCATTGATGAAATCAATTCTTTAAAAAAAAAATAATAATAATAAATAATAAAAAAATAAATTGACAGACTATATGATATGGTTTTGTGGTTTAGGGTCACATAAAATTGGTTTTGTGGTTTTAAAAAACAAACAAAACAAAACAAAATAAAATAAAATAAAAATGAAATAACACAAAACAAACAAAAATAATAACAAATTAATAAAAGAATAAAAATTAAAATAAAATACAAATAAAACAAAACAAACAAAAACAATAACTAAACAAAATTTAATGAAAAATAAAAGAATAAATATTTAAATAAAATAAAATAAATATAGAACAAAACAAACAAAAACTAAACAAAATAAAATAAAATAAAAACAAAACAGAATAAAAAAAATCAATAAATCAAAACAAACAAAAAAACAACAACACAAAATAAAACAAAACAAGAAATAAAAAACAATAACAAAAACAAACAAACAAACAAACAAAACAAATTTAAATATAAAAGAAAATAATTCAAATATATTAAGGAGATCTTACTTGTAGGACATTAAAATAGCTGCAAACATCTATAATTGTAGCTACTGCATAAAAAAAAAAAAACTTTCTGTAAGAAAGCTTAAGTAATGTATAGATTTAGCAGCAGATGTACTGCATATCCCTTGGGCTCATCTCTCTTTCAGTGAAGGGGAAAAAAAGAGGATCAGAGGTGTACTGAACTGAAAGCGCAAAGCTGAGGAGATCTTCAACAGCTTATATTTCAAGATTATCCCTATTGGAGCATGATCCCATGGACAGAAAACAACAAATCCCACAAAATCAGCCAAATAAAGACCTACACAAAGACTCCTCTACTTCTCTTTCTAGTCATTCTATAAAAACAGCTTTCTTTTACAGGCACAAAATCTCAATTTTCATTATCCCACTGAGCTCAGACCAGCCACAGGGATTTGCAGAAGTCATTGATGGAAAGCTGTCACAGTGGTTAAATTAATCTGTGGCAGACTCTATTAAGGTTTGTTCCGCCCATTGAAAAGTACAGCGGATGAAGGAAATAAGCTTTTTTAAAAATCGGTTACACCAAATAAATAAGAACAGCTAGTCTTTTTGTAAACACACCAGGAAATGACATATTTCTAATGAATTATTGCCGATATGTCCTGTTCTTCATCTGAAAAAAGAAACTGCAAGATGAAAAAAGTAACTAATATTTATCACCACCTTTCATTTCATTCATTACATTAGGAATTCATTCATTCATTCATTCTCCTTCGGCTAGTCCCTTATTTATCAGGGGTCACCACAGCGGAATGAACCATTAACTTTTCCAGCATGTGTTTTAAACAGCGGATGCCCTTCCAGCTGCAACCCTGTACTGGAAAACACCCATAAACACTCATTCACACACATACACTACGATCAATTTAGTTTATTCAATTCACCTACACTATAGCGCATGTCTTTGGACTGTAGGGGGAAATTGAGGCACTCAGGGGAAACCCACGCCAACATGCAAACTCCACACAGAAATGACAAACCGACCCAGCCAGGACTCAACCGGCGACCTTCTTGCTATGAGGCGACAGTGCTAATATTAGGAATTGGAAACCTTTCTGTATTACAGGTTTTCTTACATGGCCTCTTTAAATATGAAAATGAGGCATAATTGTGTTAAACAAGCGTACAATTCCAGAACTCGAAGGAGATTGTATCTTTTTTTATGACTCAATAATTCAGAAAATATTGCAAATAAAAAAACTAAATAGAAAAATAGATAAAAATCTAACATTTTTGAAAAGTAAAATGCATTTAATCAGGCAACTTATGTATGAAAAATTATTTTACTATCATTACATTTTTATATGAGCTAATAAGCCACTAACTATAACGCTACTACTACTACTACTACTACTAGTAATAAAATTAATAAAAGATAATAATAATAATGTTCTATGTAATCAGGCAAATTATGTCTGAACAAATCCTTTAATAACATCTATAATATAGATATTTAATTGTGTTTATTACTCTAATATTATTATTTAAAATATTTTATTGATTACTCCCTTAATTAAATATTTTTTTTTTACTAATTTTATAGTTTTATTTGAGACATGGAAATAATTTATTTTGTGCATGTTAATTGAAATAAAATCTACAAAATATAATAATAATAATTAATATTATTATTCATTCATTCATTCATTCATTCATTTTCCTTCGGCTTAGTCTCTATTTGATAGGTCGCCACACCAGAATGAACTATCAATTATTATATTTCTAATTATTTATTATTATTATTCATTCATATTCATTCATTATGCATGAACAAACCCTTCTTTAATAATCTCTATAATACATTTTTAAAATTGTGGTAATTGTTATTATTTTTTATATATTTATTCATATTATTATTTATAATTATTACAACAAATATCTTTCTTTTTTGCGAATTGTATAGTTGTATATTGTATAGAGACAGTAGAAAAAAATTTCTTTCATGTGTGCATGTTAATAAAAATAAAACCCACTAAATATAATAATAATAATAATAATAAAAATAATAATAAAAAAAATAATAATAATAATAACATTTCAGCTGCAAGGGCATCCGCTGCATAAAAAAAACACATGCTGGAATCAAATAACTTTTATAATAATAATAATAATAATAATAATAAGAAGAAGAAGAAGAAGAAGAAGAAGAAGAAGAAGAAGAAGAAGAAGAAGAAGAAGAAGAAGAAGAAGAAGAAGAAGAAGAAGAAGAAGAAGAAGAAGAAGAAGAAGAAGAAGAAGAAGAAGAAGAAGAAGAAGAAGAATTAATAATAATTATTATTATCATTATTATTATTATTGTTATTATTATTATTATTATTCATTCATTCATTCATTCATTTATATTTCTTCGCCTTAGTCTCTGTTTCAGAGGTTGCCACAGCGTAATGAACCGCCAATTTTTTATTATTTATTATCATTATTTTTTATTATTAAAAAAATTAGAAATAAAACATTATTGAAGAATAAACCAGTTAATGTAATCAGGCAAACTGTATGAACAAACCCTTCATTAAAACCTTTACAATATTAAATATAAAATTGTGAAAATTTGTGCATCAAATCTGACAAACATGTGATAAAGTAAACACCAAGATTTAGATTTTTGGATTTTTATTTTTATTATTTCTTTGGTTTACATAAGACTAAAAAAGCTAAAAGGCCAAAACCTCTAAATTGACTGATGCACAAGAAAGCATTATTTTTGCCTGCAGTGTCTCATCTTAAAAGCATCAGAAAATGCCCCATTTCTAATTCATTATTGCCAATACGTCCTGTTTTCATTAAAATCTGTGCCTTGTCTGGGTAACCGAAAAAGGGAGCTATTTTTTTATATTTATTTAAGATGGGCATTCAAGCGGTTGCCATGACAGCGTGGCTTGCCTTGCTGAAGTGTTTACAATTAGCAGGATGTGGGACAATTGCTCCTGCTCTGCAAAGGTCTGTAAAGATGCACAGATCAAGACCAGGCACTTGAACAGGGAGCTGAAAGAGTTTTCTGTGGCAGGCCGGAGTAACTGATCAGACCTGAAGCTCATTCGCGCAGGTGCTTGTTCAAGTGCGCATTAATCAGCAGGAAGACTAGTACAATCTTGAAGCCTCTGCATTCTTTGTTTGTAATAATGAATCTCTCAACAATTTATTAATGTAAAATAATAAAATAAACTAAAATTTTCAATTACAATTAAAGTATTAATGCAACTATATTAACAATTATAATGCTATTTTTATAATAAAAAATATATAAATAGATACATTTTTCTATTTATTATTTTAATTATAATTGAAATTTGTCATTTATTTTATTATTTTACATTAATAAATTGTTAGGAAATATTTAAGTTATTATATATATATATATATATATATATATATATATATATATATATATAATAACTTAAATATTTTTATTATTATTATATTACATTATATATTACTATATAAAATTATATAAATAAATGTTTATAATATCTTTTTGATTTATTAATAATAGTAATAATGATCATAATAGTAAACTACTTAACAACAATAACATCAACAAAAAGAACAATAATTAGCCAACAATATGATTATTATTAGTTTGCTTTTATTGTCATTAAAGTGCACATATGAACGAAATGAGGGCGAGGCAGTGGCGCAGTAGGTAGTGCTGTCGCCTCGCAGCAAGAAGGTTGCTGGTTCGAACTTCGGCTCAATTGGCGTTTCTGTGTGGAGTTTGCATGTTCTCCCTGCATTCGGGTGGGTTTTCTCCGGGTGCTCCAGTTTCCCCCACAGTCCAAACACATGCGGAACAAGTGAATTGGGTAGGCTAAATTGTTTGTATTGTATGAGTG